AAATCGCTTTGTTTCTGGCCGCTAGCGGCTAAAATCGCGCGATTTTTGGCCGCTAGCGGCGAAATTCGCACGATTTTTGGCCGCTAGCGGCGAAATTTGCACGATTTTTGGCCGCTAGCGGCGAAAATCGCCCCATTTTTGGCCGCTAGCGGCAAAAATCGGTCGATTTTTGGCAGGTAGCGGCGAAATTCGCGTGATTTTTGCCCGCCAGCTGCAAAAAATCGCATACTTTCTGGCCGCTAGCGGCGAAAATCGCGCGATTTTTGGCCGCTATTGTCGAAAATCGCGCGATTTTTGGCCGCTAGCGGCTTAAATCGCGCGACTTTTGGCCGGTAGCGGCTTAAATCCCTCGATTTTTGCCCGCCAGCTGTGAAAATCGCAAGGTTTTTGGCCGCTAGTGGCGAAAATCAAGCGGTTTTTGGCCGGTAGCGGCGAAAATCACGCGATTTTTGCCCACCAGCTGCGAAAATCGCATGGTTTTTGGCCGCTAGCGGCGAAAATCGCATGGTTTTTGGCCTCTAGCGGCGAAAATCGCATGGTTTTTGGCCGCTAGCGGCGAAAATCGTTCGATTTTTGGCAGGTAGCGGCGAAATTCGCGCGATTTTTGCCCGCCAGCTGCAAAAATCGCATGGTTTTTGGACGCTAGCGGCGAAAATCGCGCGGTTTTTGGCCGATAGCGGCGAAAATCGCCCGATTTTTGGCGGCTAGCGGCGAAAATCGCACGGTTTTGGGCCGCTAGCGGCGAAAATCGCGCTATTTTTGGCCGGTAGCGGCGAAAATCGCGATTTTTGCCCGCCACCTGCGAAAATCGCATGGTTTTTGGACGCTAGCGGCGAAAATCGCGCGGTTTTTGGCCGATAGCGGCGAAAATCGCGCTATTTTTGCCCGCCAGCTGCAAAAATCGCATAGTTTCCGGCCGCTAGAGGCAAAAATCGCGCGATTTTTGGCCGCTACAGGCGAAAATCGCGCGATTTTTGGCCGCTAGCGGCGAAATTCGCGCGATTTTTGGCCGCTAGCAGCGAAATTCGCACGATTTTTGGCCGCTAGCGGCGAAATTTGCATGATTTTTGGCCGCTAGCGGCAAAAATCGCCCCATTTTTGGCTGCTAGCGGCGAAAATAGCCCCTTTTTTGGCCGCTAGCGGCGAAAATCGCGCGGTCTTTGGCCAGTAGCGGCGAAAATCGCGCTATTTTTCCCGTCAGCTGCAAAAATCGCAAAGTTTCTGGCCGCTAGCGGCGAAAATCGCGCGATTTTTGGCCGCTAGCGGCGAAATTCGCACGATTTTTGGCCGCTAGCGGCGAAAATCGCCCCATTTTTGGCCGCTAGCGGCGAAAATAGCCCCTTTTTTGGCCGCTAGCGGCGAAAATCGGTCGATTATTGGCAGGTAGCGGTGAAATTCGCGCGATTTTTGCCCGCCAGCTGCAAAAATCGCATGGTTTCTGGCCGCTAGCGTCGAAAATAGCGCGGTTTTCGGCCGTTAGCGGCAAAAATCGCCCGATTTTTACCCTCCAGCGGCGAAATTCGGCAGATTTTTGCCCGCTACCAGTGAAAATCGCGCGATTTTTGGCAGCTATCGGCGAAAATCGCGCGGTTTTTGGCCGTTAGCGGCGAAAATCGCCCGATTTTTGGCCGCTAGCGGCGAAAATCGCGCGATTTTTGGCCGGTAGCGGCGAAAATCGCGCGATTTTTGGCCGCTAGCGGCGAAAATAGCCCCTTTTTTGGCCGCCATCTGCGAAAGTCGGTCGATTTTTGCGGCTAGCGGCTAAAAACCGCGCGATTTTCGCTGCTAGCGGCCAAAAACCGTGCGATTTTCGCCGCTAGCGGCCAAAAATCGGGCGAATTTTGCCGTTAGGGGGCAAAATTCGCAAGATTTTGGCCGGTACCGGCGAAAATAGCCCCTTTTTTGGCAGCTAGCTGCGAAAGTCGGTCGATTTTCGCTGCTAGCGGCCAAAAACAGTGCGATTTCGCCGCTAGCGGCCAAAAATCGCGCGATTTTTGCCGCTAGCGGCGAAAATCGCCTGATTTTTGCACTCCAGCGCATAGTAATTTTATCCATCAATTCATGCAAAGAATAATACACCTGGGCATGTTTCCTTACACCTAATGCAGCTCACCTTGCAGTGAATAAATACCCGAGATTTAGGCAACTATTGTGGGATGTATCCTGGGGAAGATCAGTAATTGGCCAAGTGGCAACTCAAGCCAAACAAGTTTCCTTTTTGTAAGAATGGAAAACAAAAAGTATAAAGTCCAAGATAAAAATCTTGCCTTCAAAATGTTGTTTTCTCTGACCCCAAAGCTGTCATTAACAGTAGTATTGTAGAGAATCTATCAAATGTGGACAAAATATATTTGGTTTGTGTTGGACTGTGGCCTGGTGAGGTACCCATCAGGATATGCCTTGTTATGGTTGTGGTGCAAAGCTTTAATGTCATTTTTTGGAGGGTCATTGGCATCTGTTGCCTTTGTGTCTGGTCCCTAAATATAGATCACAAAAAAAAAACTTGTGCTTTGGCACAAGCACCTCCAAAGAATACCTGATCAACCAGGTTGTGACTCATACGTCAGGCTGCGAGCAGCCGCGTCCAACAGCCTGGTTGATCAGTCCGGCAACCAGGAGGCCTGGTCGACGACCGGGCCGCGGGGACGCTAAGCCCCGGAAGCACCTCAAGGTAACCTCAAGGTTGGCAAGGAGCTTCCTTTTCATACTACAATCCAGTACTGTTATTGGTTTACTGGGGAGGAAGGGGTGGGGGAGAGTGTTGGTATCTGGCTATGCCTGGTTCTTTCTCCTCTCTTCCTCTTAGCATCTTCCCCCCTTCCCCACCTCTCTCCTCTCCTCCCACTCTTTTCTTCCGTCTTTAAATATTCCTCTGTTTTCCTTCCCTCCCTATCGTTGTCTCTTTCTGTGTGTCTGCCTCGGTCTGTTAATCTCTCTTTGCCCTGGTCAACCTGGTCTCTCTGCAGGCATCTATCTACATCCCTGCTTGCCTTCCTCCCTCCCTCTTTTTATAAATATATAATAGTCTCCTAGTGGTGTGTGTGGTGTGTGGGGTGTGTGGGGTGTGTGGGGTGTGTGGTGTGTGTGGTGTGTGTGGGGTGTGTGGGGTGTGTGGGGTGTGTGGGGCGTGTGGGGCGTGTGGGGCGTGTGGGGTGTGTGGGGGGTGTGTGGGGTGTGTGGGGTGTGTGGGGGTGTGTGGGGCGTGTGGGGTGTGTGGGGCGTGTGGGGCGTGTGGGGTGTGTGGGGTGTGTGGGGTGTGTGGGGCGTGTGGGGTGTGTGGGGTGTGTGGGGTGTGTGGGGTGTGTGGGGTGTGTGGGGCGTGTGGGGTGTGTGGGGTGTGTGGGGCGTGTGGGGTGTGTGGGGTGTGTGGGGTGTGTGGGGCGTGTGGGGCGTGTGGGGTGTGTGGGGTGTGTGGGGTGTGTGGGGTGTGTGGGGTGTGTGGGGTGTGTGGGGCGTGTGGGGTGTGTGGGGCGTGTGGGGTGTGTGGGGTGTGTGGGGTGTGTGGGGTGTGTGGGGCGTGTGGGGTGTGTGGGGTGTGTGGGGTGTGTGGGGTGTGTGGGGTGGTCCACTGGTGGGAGGAGCCTAGTAGTGTGATAAAATATAAAAAATATAATTTCCTTTTTGCTTTGAGAAAGGGACGAGGCTTGACAATGGCCTCGCAGCTGTGGGAGAACTGTCTGCATTATGCTACTCCAGCCCAACTATGAATATCAGAAAATCTGTTAAGTTTCTAGAGTGAATAATAAAGTACAGTACATTACTACTGTATAATAATTTTTTTTTTAAATATTTAGCTAGGTCTACCAGGTGGGCAGTGGGGATCAGAATGAGACCCTGTCATGCTGTTCCCTCTAGAATTCTGGTGACCCCAACCAGTCTATATCTATCCTGTACCCTAGACCATTTTCCCTGCAAAATTTGGCGAGGCCCAAGCATGTGGCCTCCAACCTCGGACAGACATTCTTGTAGATATAGACCGACAAATTTGTCACCTAGTGATGGGCATCATAGCCCAGCATTATAATTTCAGGGTAGTAGGGAAGATTGCCACACATATTATTTGGATCTCTATGACCATCCTATTTGTTTTCCTCTGCATTTCCGATGATGGGTGTAGGATCATTTTCCCCCTCAGGTGTGTAAGATAAACTGTACTTTGGTAACAATCTTGTTATTTAACATTGCTGAGCCTCCCTCACAGTTGGCATTTTATGAAAGTACTGTTAAACAAAAACTCGTGCGCCACAATTACCAGAACTGGATGTTTCAGTTCTTTGATGATGGTCAATGCTCACAGGATTCCTTCTACCTTGAAGACATTGTTTTTGTTGCTTTGACTTATGGGTCATTGCTTCAGGATAGGAAGGTCTCTACTCTAGCAGTTTGCTTGGATGCTCCAGGGGAAATATCCTCAGTAACGGCTGTTTCTGATCCTCCTCCACTGGCTGTGAAGTCTATGCAACTCAGATCTACTTTCACAAAGCTGCCAGAAGGTGTAGAAACATGCTTTCAATTGAATGTTTTGAATGGAGGCTCCATGTCTCATCCTAAGCCTTAAGAAAGGTAAATAGGACATTCCCTTCCTCCCTTCCTCAGGATATGATGGAGTCTGGGCAGCATCCCCTTTATTGAATGTCCAGCTTAAGGTTCTGGTTAAGTTTTATGAGAAGGTGAGGCAATGAGATACCTTACCATAAGTAAATAACAATTCAACATGGAAATGAATTCGCAAAATACGAATATGTAAGCTCATGTACACACAACTTTGTGTTTAGATATGAATAGTTAAAGCCTATATTAATTCAGGTGCATCTTGTATCAAACATCTAGGCACTGCCCAGTCTGGTGTGTGTGTGTGTGTGTCTTTTTGTACAAAAGAGTGCACGAGTCACTTGAAACACAGAACAGAGTGCAAGGTGAAAGGATTAAAAGAAGGAATTGGGACAACTCAAATTGCACGTGACTTAAAAGTTTTAAATATTCTTGATGTAATTACGTACCTGCCGTGCAATAGCTCTGTTGACCATCGGGGACTGGTGCCTCCACTGCTGGGGAAACTGTGGCAGTCCTAGTGGATTATTGTACTGCTGGAGATGGTCGGGTGGAGGGTTCTCAGGTAAGGGGGGAGGAGCATACTGTTCCCACGGAGGAATATAGCCACGCTGGACAGTACCATGAGGCTGGAAAAACATCTTATCTTAATATTCATTCTATTTTTCCATCATATACAGTATAAATTTAGTTTTTCCCCACAGACCATGCTGCTAGAAAATCAGCCCCACTATCCAAAAATATTCAAAATGCCGCAAATTCTCTTGCAACGCTTTTCCATGCTAACATGTTAAACCTAATTTCTTTTTAAGTAGGGGAGTGTCCCTAAGTCACTCCCTACATCAAAGTAGGAAGTGACTTAGGAAACAGTGATCACTCCCTACTTTGATGTTATTTACTATTGTCTCCCTCTTGGCCAGGCAATGCAAATGGACTTTTTTTTGTGGCATTTAGAATTTACAGCCAGAAGTTCACAGAAGATACAGTAAATGCTAATATAGCACCAATAAATTTAGCAACACCAACAATTACAATAAACCCCAGCATGCAATGTAATGAAAAGCCTCTTTATGGATGAGCCCTAATGGCTCTCTGAAGCTCTCTCACTTAAATTGCTCCATGCAAATGGGTCACATCTGATGTGGGAGTTCTGTTTGGCCTACCGAGAATCAGTGCCAAAACCAAGGCCCCCATCACAGAGGTGCAGAGAGCAGGTGGCATAAACCAGGCCCCCATCACAGAGGTGCAGAGAGCAGGTGGCAATTTGCCACCCTACCAGGAAAGCATCCAGAAAGTCAGCAAAGCTTTACAGATGACTGGAGGGTTAGTATAGATCGAAGCCTTAAAACTACCAAACAACTCCAAGAACCAGAAAAACCTTCTAAATAAACATGAAACATTCAGTACTGAATGCCACCACCTAGCAGCCTGACTTCTGCACATAGCCATCTTCCTTGGTCAGTTCTTTTGCTGATGTCCACTTGGACAATACTGTAGTGTTCTGGGTCTTTCAGACACGGCAAGTGTGTGTGCTTCAGGTTAAGTGCTAGCTGTCCTTTAACTCATTCCTGCAGGGGCCATTTGCTTTGTACTTTGTTCTATATTTTACTATTTTGCCTCATGTGCCTCTTTTCTATTTGGCTTACTGTGTGGGCTTAGCTTTGTTGTGCTTCAGTCTGCATACACTGCACTGCCCCTTCACTGTCTTATCTTCTGTCATGTGTTTGGGAGTTTGCCTCTGAGAGGCTAGGCTACTGTGGTGTCCCTAAGCCCCTAGCTTAGGGACACCACAGTTGTTGTCCCTAGTTAGTTGTGTTGGGGCATGCTGGGATTTGCAGGTTTGATTATACAACACTGTGGACACCAGTCGTAGCTAGGATGTTTTGGTTGCACTAGACTTCTGTCTTTACCAAGCAGCCTCAGTGCCTGGGTAATTACCCAAACATAGTTCCGGGATGAGAGCTACGCTCATGGTGTCTCGTCTTCCCAGTACTCTGTCATATGACACTTTGAAACTACTCAGTCTTGGTTTCCAGTGCTTCTAGCCTGCTGTCAAAACCCGGACATTTTTTTGCAACTCTGCCTCTTTTTCACTATATCACCAAAATGTGTTAGCCTAAGACTTTCTACAAATTTATATTGGATCAACACCACAATAATGAGCCCCAAGCACAAATACCATAGTTGAGATATGGATAGATAAGGGAGTAATAGAGAGTCACCAGGGCAGGGCGTGGTACATAATATCTGATCTTAGAAAGAATGCCCACAGTTTTTGAAACTTTTTTTGATATATTTAGAATGTGTCCCTGGAAATTCAGCTTGTGGTCAATGAGAATGCCAAGGAATTTGCCATCTAATTTGTTACAAATTTGGGTATTGTTTATTTTGAGATTTATTTGATTAGAGGATTTATTGCCAAACAGAATATAGAACGTTTTGTCAATGTTAAGGGTGAGTTTGTTGGCAGTTAGCCAAAGATGGACTTTATTTAGCTCAGTATTTACTGTGGCATTTAGAGCAAGGGGGTCAGGACTTGAGTAAATGAAGGTTGTGTCGTCAGCAAATAGAATTGGTTTGAGGTGTTGGGAGGCATTTGGAAGGTCATTAATGTAGATGAGAAAGAGGAGAGGGCCAAGTATGCTGCCCTGAGGAACACCTTATTAAATACTGTCTAAGCTCACTTATTTGGACTATATGGGAAGGATCCCTCACTGGATACGCCAGACATCCAGATAAGCAGAAATCTTACAGGGAAAGTCCAAAAATTATCATATTCACAATTCTTATTTTTTGTACCACAGCCAACATTCAGTACAGTAATCCGAACTTCAACACACACACACTACAAATCAAAAATATACTGTAATTTAAAAGAAACTCCAGCTTACCTTGTTGTAGTTGTTTCTCGTTTGGTACTGTAGATCTTGAAATGTGTAGTTCTTGAAAATTTACGTAACCTAATCTCTGGTTATCTGGATTTCTATCTGGGTATGGTGAAGTTTGGCAGAAAATTATCTGGTTGCAATTTTGGCTGGCTAATCCAAATACTGTAGGTATTGGGTTTAGCGGGCTTTGGAAAACCAAGCTCATACAGGATTCTAGATTATTATCTGTTACTATGGTAATGGGGGGATTTGATAGTACAACATACACCACTTGACCTTGAAAGTAGTAGACCTAATCTAGGCCTACAATAGGACAAATGTTAGCATTAATGTCATATTTCAATGCAAGGACAAGAAAAAGCCGATTCACATCAAGAAATCCTTTGTGTGACTGCATCAGGGTTGCTGAAGCATGGCTACCACTGGTAGACATGTACAGTGGTACAATACTAGACAACTCAACATAAAGTGTTCACAATTTATAGTTTGTAAAATGCCTGAAATATCTAGAAGACGAAAAAGCTCTTCGAAGAGGTCACAATAAGATGGTGAACATAATTGGAAATTTGGTTTGGTGTTGAACTTGAGGCCTATTAAGACCACCGCAAGACCTTAATGACCAACCAACCAGCATGTATACTTTAGTCTTCAAGTTCAAGTTCAAGTATGTTTATTGAGACAAGAAAAAATACATCTCAAAGGAATAGAGTAGCTTAGGATATTTCTACCCCCCACACTTTAGTCTTAAACATAGGTCAGAACTAAAGCAATCTTATACTGTACATACACCGAAAAGCGGGTTGCTGTCCATCTGTCAATACACAGATTTTGGAGCCCTTGGGCCCGAAGTCTACCCTCTATCATATCTTCAAGATATTAATATTAAACAATGATGCACCCCCCCCGAAGGCAGAACTAACATTCTTGAACTGCACACAGAGAGAACAAACCTGTTTAGTGTTGAGTGCTGGTGATAGAGAAGGCTTGTACAACTGTTGCTTCTTGAGAGTACAATAAAGAACAAGATTGTCATCTGGTTGATTCATTACACTGTTGTCTCCATACATGCTACCATACACAGGGATGTTTGGCTCCACCGTCTCACCCTGTATGAGGTATATTGCAATAATGAATTTTTATTTGGGTAATTTTTTTAAATATCAAAATAATGATAGTGAAATAGCAAATAACATAAAGACATTTTATATATTGTAGTACTGTACACTGTAATGCAGTACAGTACATACGACCGGAGGGAGCCGGTCGGCCGAGCGGACAGCACGCTGGGCTTGTGGTCCCGGGGTCGATCCCGGGCGCCGGCGAGAAACAATGGGCAGAGTTTCTTTCACCCTATGCCCCTGTTACCCAGCAGTAAAATAGGTACCTGGGTGTTAGTCAGCTGTCACGAGCTGCTTCCTGGGGGTGGAGGCCTGGTCGAGGACCGGGCCGCAGGGACACTAAAGCCCCGAAATCATCTCAAGATAACCTTAAGAAGATAACATCCTCGGTTCAACTATATGGGAGCGACCCCTAATTCGTTGCAACTGGAGATGCCCCCAGGATGCACTTCCCACACCCTATGAGTTAATTTCATGTAGCACAATTTTAATTCCAACATTCAGTATAATATAATAGACAACAATCAAATGAATATGTCTGCAAAAAAATTTAACCACACCTAACTTATTTCTTGAGTCCACAACTTCAAAACTAATTTTCTAAAGGTTGCAGGGCCATACTCGAGTGAACGAAAACCTTGCCATCTTAAAATTAAAAAACCACAGAATTTGGTTAATAATATCTTCAATAGATTTCCCACAGCTGGTGACATCCAGTAATTTCCCATCACTATTTCTTGTAATGTCGAGTCCATCTACAAAAATCATCAAAAATGTGACTGAACTCATATTAAGACATCATTCATTCCCTAATATTTCCCACACTCTATGGCTTGATTTTATACCATATATCATTCCCTAATGAACAAATCCACAAGGGCCGTGACGAGGATTCGAACCTACGTCCGAGAGCATCCCAGACGCTACCTTAATCGACTGTCATTCCCTAAACTTTGTTCGATATAACTGAAAAAAAATCTTTAGGATTTGTCTTTGCTTGCACTGCTATGCCATAAGTATAAAAACATAAGCATTCTTATGTTCTTATTTTACCGAGTGAAATTTTAATTTCAGTCCATCAAATGAAGGATAACTATCTTGAGAATCTGTGTGAAAAGAGATTTAACTACATCTAGCATATTTCTTCACACCATAGATCTGAAACCTCATTTTCAAAGGACAATGGACCCCATATTAGAAAACAAAAACCAGGGAATCTCAAAGTTAAAGTGAACCATAGAATTTGGTTTTAATTATGATCAATGGCCTTCTCTAGGCCCATTATGGTATAGTTCTAGGTATTGTTCTGGTTCCGTCTGTTTCACTGCTCCTGGGATAGGCGTGTTCGGATCCCACCAGCCCGGCCCTTCATCAGCTCCTGTCTCGCTGGCTTCCTCTTCAGGTATATCAGGGGTTCGGTTCTGAAATGCTATCCTTCCCCATTGCTCTGTGTGTTCACACAGACACTTGCCCCAAAAATCCAAAATGGCTAACAAAAAATTCCAAAACTGCAACAAAAATTTCCAAACACCCAACAGGAGACTCATCGAATCGAGGTTCGTTGAATCGAGATTCCACTGTAGTATTATGCAGTGTATGTGTCTGTGTGTAATTACCTAAGTATAGTTACAGGATGATAGCTATGCTTGTGGTGTCCCGTCTTCCAGGGCCCTGTCACATGAAACTCTTAAGATATGGGTATCATACAACAGCTGCATATTCCATCTTTGGTCTCACAAAGGTTGTGAAGAATTTCGTTAGGATTCTGCCATCCATGTACGGTATTTAAAAGCAATGGTGTAGTGAGGAGGATGTCCACATGCCTTTCAGAGAGACATGTGCACATCCTCTAGGAATGGGATGACTAGGGTATTATCACAAGTTGAGCCTGGCCTCAGGCTGGCCTCGGGGAGTAGAACAACTCTCAGAACTCTCTCCAAGATGACAGGGTCTCTAAGAGTTTCTGTGGCTTCCTCCAATGTGTGTGGGTCCTGGGCAGCTGTTTATTTTGCTGCCACATCTGCAAAATGTTGGCGACAGTCATGACCTCGCCTCTCTGGATTTTGTCACGCCTCTTCCCGGAGGTGAAGATCCTCCAAATGTGAAAGATCCTCCAAAGACCCAGTTGATTCTTGATTTGTCAAGGAACAATTCTCTCATCCTATAGCACAGTGGTCTACATCTTCCTCTAACAGTGGGGGGGGGGGGACCTGGGTTCAGCCTTGGGGCAGGCCAGAAATAGGTATGTTTCACCTAATGCCACTGTTCATTAGAAATAGAAGAGATAGCCAGGAGTTAGGCAACTGCCGTAGATTGCATCCAGGGAGAAATGTCAGAAGTTGATTAGCAAGGGGACCTCGATAAGCTTAATTAATTAAGCACAGGCTTCCAGTCCCTGATAACGGGAACTAACTCATGGTTACCACCGTGCCTGTGGTTCACCAGATGGTGCCAGGCCAGTCCTTGTTCACTCTGCTGGACCTCGGGGACTGCTGCTGGCATGTACTAGTTAATCTGAGATATAAAATGGCTGGGGTTTCCTGTTGGCAACACCAGACAACAATTTCCGGCTCATGTTCAGGATCAACTTGGCTTTCAAGGCGTTCACCAGACTTCTGGCATCGACCCAGGAGCTCCGGCTTATGGGCCTCAGTGTCCGGACGTGCAGTAAACAAATGATTGATTTGCGCTCCCAGTCGTTCCCTTAACTTGTTGGCTAGGGACACAACTGTGATACTGTTGGGTCATTTGCCCTCATTATCACTGCCTTAAAAACCTGCCTCTCTCATTGTAGATTACTTTGCATTTACATTTATCAAAGTGCCATAACTGAGGAAAGATGTACATGTTTCGTAAGTGGACACTTGCACTTGAGTTTTGGCTCTGATCTTCATCCATCTCTCTCCCATGTCAGCCTGGATCAAGATTGCCTCGTATCTGGCATGGTTCGCTGGAGGGCACCCACGCCTGTTGGAGCCGGAGCAGATCTTGGCTCGGCAGAACTTTATGTACATAATGTATCCTATGGACCAGCTGGCTCTAGGCGCTGCACCGGGTTCTACACATGCTCAGCACGTTTTGTTCCGGGGCTTCGTCCTACGACAGTTGATTCCATCTCTGATTTATTCATAGGCATGACAGGCGTGGGAGGGGAGGTTTATTCCAGCTTTCACCCACACGGTCAGAGACACTGGTCTCTTGGCAGGGGCACAAGCGACATTGGCCAATAGGCGACCAATACAGGACCCGCACCCTTCTAATTACGTCTTGGCTGTGTGTGGTCATAGTCATGAACGCCAAGTGGTGCCATGCAACAACATTGGATCTTCCCACTTTGATGAAGGAACACTTGTTTTTCTCTCAACAGTACAAACAGTGTTGCAGTGAATACGGAACTGTGCCGGCACCTTCACTGCTCTCGGGCCTGCAGTGTCCTCACGCATTCACAAATAATTTGTGTTATGAGAGTTAACACGGATTTTTTTTATTATTTTGTGGCTGTTACTCTGCATTACAGTGTCCATCTGTCTGGCTATCTTAAAGAGCTTGGCTATGCTCACTCTTATCTCAACGTCTTAAGAAAGTAAGGCATAACCTTAATGTGTAGACAAGTTACATATCTAAACAGCAAGAAAAACTTACATTTCTTCCACGAATGATGTTAGTGGTAGCATAAGCCACAGGGGTGCCAGGAGGCTGGGTCCCCGGAGGCATGAGGGGTACTACTGAGCCGTCCACCTCGGCGTAGTCTCCGGGGGTGGTGTTGAGGTTGAGCAGCTTCTCCGGGGTAGCGTCGTGCTTGTCCTCCGTGGTGGCCGAGGAGCTGCCCCACGGCCCTCGCTCAATCCACAGTCCTCCAGACATGGTGCCGTTCAGGCTACGCCCGTCCATCTTGTAGCCTGGGAAAACATTTACTGTTCAGATTAGAGTATTTGGCTTACATGTACAGTACTTCTATTAAAATGTCCTCTTAATAATAGTTTTAATTGAACAAATAAGAAGGTAATATTAGCATACAGAGAACAACTACACGGAATATTGACCAGACCACACACTAGAAGGTGAAGGGACGACGACGTTTCGGTTCGTCGTGGACCATTCTCCATGGAGAATGATCCAGGACGGACCGAAACGTCGTCGTCCCTTCACCTTCTAGTGTGTGGTCTGGTCAATATACTTTAGCTATGTTATTGACTCATCGCCTGCACCTACACGGAATATATATTAAAGGTCTTTATTAGCGAGCTTTGAGGACGCAGCTCCGACACACACACCAGATACAACTGCCACCTTGCCATACAAGTTACAGCCCCGCTCCTGTGCCAGGTAAGCCCACTACGGGCTCACCATAGCCCGTGCTACTTGCAACTTTTTGTTCCCAGTAGCTGAATCTATAACAACAACGTTGTGTGAAGGGCTGGAGTAACCGTTTGTGTCTGTTCACCTGGTGGAGTTGACGGAAATGAAGTGGGAAACCTTGCCAGAGCCAGAGCTCAACCCCCGCAAGCACAATTAGCTGAGTACAGGATCCACAGGATCCACACTCACCACCACCACCACAGCAGCAGCAGCAGCAGCAGCAGCAGCAGCAGCAGCAGCAGAAGACAATACACACACTCTCCACCCACCACACACACACTCTCCACCCACCACACACACACTCTCCACCCACCACACACACACTCTCCACCCACCACACACACTCTACATTAAACACAAAAGCAGAAAGAGGGGAAAGTTTGACTTTTAATGTATATAGAGAAAGGGAAGTTTAGATCTTAACAGATAAAAGATAAAAAGTGTGAGTGCTATCGGAAAGAGGGGACAGTAGTTTGAAGAGGTTGTAAACAGGTGGGAGAGAGGGGAAGGAAGAGGTAGGAAAGGAAGGGAGAGGTGGAGGTGAGGCAGAACGGAGAGGGAGAGGTGAGGGAGGGAATACAGAAGGGAGAGGAGAGAGGCGGGACACCAAGTACCGGATAGGAGAGGTTAGAGGGGGATAGGCGAGGGAGAGGAGGGGGAGAGGGGAGAGATACTAATAATTCGACACTAACTGCCGCCACCTGCTGTAATTACCAGGTGCAGCTGTTGAACGGGGTGGTTGGGAGGGGGGGGGGTGGTGATCTGCGAGGGGTAGTTCCCTCCGAGTAGTAGTAGTTATTAAGTCGGGGAGGGGGAGGTGGGGGGTGGTGGTAGTTATTAGCTCGTAGAGGATAGTTATTAGCTCGTGGAGGGGTGGTGGTAGTTATTAGCTCGTAGAGGATAGTTATTAGCTCGTGGAGGGGTGGTGGTAGTTATTAGCTCGTAGAGGATAGTTATTAGCTCGTGGAGGATAGTTATTAGCTCGTGGAGGGGTGGTGGTAGTTATTAGCTCGTAGAGGATAGTTATTAGCTCGTGGAGGGGTGGTGGTAGTTATTAGCTCAGGGGGGTAGTTATGAGTTCAGGGGGGCAGTTATTAGCTCGGGGGGGGGGTGGATAGTTATTAGCTCAGAAGGGGTAATTATTAGCTCATGGAGGGTAGTTATTAGCTCAAGGAGAGGTAGTTATTAGCTCAAGGAGGGTAGTTATTAGCCCAGGGGGTAGTTATTAGTTCAGGGGGTAGTTATTAGCTCAAGGAGGGTAGTTATTAACTCAGGTGGGGTAGTTATTTGCTCAGGGGGGGTAGTTATTAGCTCAGGGGTTATAGTTATTTGCTCAGGGGATGTAGTTATTAGCTCAGGGGTTGTAGTTATTAGTTCAGGGGGTAGTTATTAGCTCAGGGGGGTAGTTATTATCTCAGAGGGGTAGTTATTAGTTCAGGGGATAGTTATTATCTCAGGGGGTAGTTATTATCTCAGGGGGTAGTTATTATCTCAGGGGGTAGTTATTAGCTCATGGAGGTAGTTTTTAGCTGGGGGGGGGTAGTTACTGGCTCAAGGGGGTACCTATTGGCTCAGAGGTAGTTATTAGCTCGGAGGGTAGTTATTAGCTGGGGAGGGGGTTATTAGCCCGGGGATAGTTATTAGCTCGGAGGGTAGTTATTCTCTCAGGGGGGTTATTAGCTCAGGGATTAGTTATTAGATCGGGAGATGGGGCAGTTATTAGCTGTGGGAGAGGGGTAGTTATTTTCTCAGGGTGATAGTTATAGGCTCGGGTGATAGTTATTAGCTCAGGGGGGGGGTAGTTATTAGCTCATGGGGCTATTTATTAGCTCAGGGGGTAGTAATTAGCCCAGAGGCGTAGTTATTAGCTCAGGGGGGTAGTTATTACCTCGGGGGGGGGGGGTAGTTACTTGCTCAGTGGGGTAGTTATTAGCTTAGGGGGGGGTTGTTATTAGCAGATGAGAATAGTTATTGGCTCAGAGGGTACTTATTAGCTAAGGGGGATAGTTATTAGCTCAGGGGGGGGGGGTAGTTACTACCTAAGGGGTAGTTATTATCTCAGGAGGGTAGTTATTATATCGGTGGATAGATATTAGCTCAGGGGGTATAGTTATTTGCTCGTGGTATAGGTATTAGCTCAGGGGAGGTAGTTATTAGCTCGGGGAAGGGGAGGTAGTTACTAACTCGGGGAAGGGGGGTAGTTATTAGCTCAGGGGGGTAGTTATTAGCTCAGGGGGCGTAGTTATTAGCTCAGGAGGGAAGTTATAAGGTCAGGATTGGTAGTTATTAGCTCGGGGGGGGGGGGGTAGCTATTAGCTAAACAGGTAGTTATTAGCTCAAGGGGGTTAGTTATTAGCTCAAGGGGGTTATTAGCTGAGGGGGGTAGTTATTAGTTCAGGAGGGAGTTATTAGCTCAGGGGGTTGTTATTAGCTGAAGGGGGAGTAGTTATTAGCTCAGGAGGGGGTAGTTATTAGCTGAGGGGGTAGTTATTAGTTCAGGGGGGAGTTATTAGCTCAGGGGGTTGTTATTAGCTGAAGGGGGAGTAGTTATTAGCTCAGGAGGGGTAGTTATTAGCTCAGGAGATAGTTATTAGCTCAGGGGGGGTAGTTATTTGCTCAGGAGGGGGTAGTTATTAGCTCGGGGGGCGGTAGTTATCAGCTCGGGGGGGGGTAGTTATTATATTACCCCCCATCCTTTGAGAGGGAAGACTGGAAGATGGAAGGATGCCATCATGGCGCGATAACCATATCATTGTAACTGGCGAGGGAGATAAGACGAGATATTTAACCACGTTTCTCAAGCCGCTGGCTACCCACATCTTCATGTTGCCTATGACTCAATGTATAAGTTTACCACCACAACCCGTTCTCGCACTTTCTTACAGTCAATATTGACTTATTAAATACGTGCATATGTGACATACTAAACATACTAGTTTACCTTGAAAAGCTTCATAGAAAACACCGACCTTACCTAACCTTCTTAGTATGTTAAAATAAGCATCTTATTGCTTCGTAATTACAATTATTACTTAACCTATACCTATAATAGGTTAAGTAATAATTAACCTACACCTATAATAGGTTAAGTAATAATTATAATTACGAAGCAATAAGATGCTTATCTTAACATACTAAGAAGGTTAGGTAAGGTCAGTGTTTTCTATGAAGCTTTTCAAGGTAAACTAGTATGTTTAGTATGTCACATATGCACGTATTTAATAAGTCAATATTGACTATACGAAAGTGCGAGAACGTGTTGACCGGTGACAAGAAGCGTCTAGAAAACGCGTCTAATCTTAACAGTCAGAAGCCGTAAAAGAAAAACAAATATTCTTGATATCCAAAAACACGCGGAACGCAATGCGTATTAGTGGCTTGGGGTATTGTGTGTACTAGTTCTATCTCTAACTCTAACATTATGTTTGGAACTCATCTTCTTTGTATGTAGTTTAACCGGAATAAAAATTTGAATTTGAAAACGGAATTTGAATTTGAATTTGAAAACGGTTGAGGAAGGGAGGGAGGGACTCGTCCCGCCCGAATACCATCAATCGTGATCCAATCGCCACAAGAAGAGTCTCCAAACGTGAAAGCCCATCACATCTACATAACACACTGCGGGACCTGGGAGTGTATACCTGCCTTGGTGACCCCAGTGACCCCCTGGGGTCTAGGTCCACCCTTCACCCCAGTGACCCCCTGGGGTCTAGGTCCACCCTTCACCCCAGTGACCCCCTGGGGTCTAGGTCCACCCTTCACCCCAGTGACCCCCTGGGGTCTAGGTCCACCCTTCACCCCAGTGACCCCCTGGGGTCTAGGCCCACCCTTCACCCCCACCCCAGTGACCCCCTGGGGTCTAGGCCCACCCTTCACCCCCCCACCCCAGTGACCCCCTGGGGTCTAGGCCCACCCTTCACCCCCACCCCAGAGACCCCCTGGGGTCTAGGCCCACCCTTCACCCCCCCAATGACCCCCTGGGGTCTAGACCCACCATTCACCCCCCACCCCAGTGACCCCCTGGGGTCTAGACCCACCCTTCACCCTCCAATCCTTCACAGCCACGCCATTCCTCAGTCATCCTCCAACCAATCTTCCTCCCTTGCCTCCTGTGCCCCCCCCCCTTTTCCCTCGCCAATCATCGTCCCCGTCACCGCCCAATCACGGCCCGTCACCGGCCAATCACGGCCCGTCACCCGCCTCACAAACGAGGTGGTGAGAGGTAACACAGGGAGGGAGGTGCCGGCCCCGTCTTGAGCCGACTATAAAATGGATTTGGAATTGTAGATCAGATACCTGCAGCCCCACCAGCCCCCCCTGCTGATTATCCCCCCCCCTACACTATCCAGCCACCTGCTGATTACCCCCCCCCTACACTATCCATGCAGCCACCTGCTGATTACCCCCCAACACTGTCCAGTCCCCTGCTGATTACCCCCCTACACTGTCCAGTCCCCCCTGCTGATTATCCCCCCCTACACTATCCATGCAGCCACCTGCTGATTACCCCCCTACACTGTCCAGTCCCCTGCTGATTACCCCCCTACACTGTCCAGTCCCCTGCTGATTACCCCCTACACTGTCCAGCCCCCTGCTGATTACCCCCCTACACTGTCCAGCCCCCTGTTGATTACCCCCTACACTGTCGAGCCTCCTGCTGATTACCCCCTACACTGTCCAGCCCCCTGTTGATTACCCCCTACACTGTCCAGCCCCCTGTTGATTACCCCCTACACTGTCCAGCCCCCTGTTGATTACCCCCTACACTGTCCAGCCTCCTGCTGATTACCCCCTACACTGTCCAGCCTCCTGCTGATTACCCCCTACACTGTCCAGCCCCCTGCTGATTACCCCCTACACTGTCCAGCCCCCTGTTGATTACCCCCTACACTGTCCAGCCTCCTGCTGATTACCCCCTACACTGTCCAGCCCCCTGTTGATTACCCCCTACACTGTCCAGCCCCCTGCTGATTACCCCCCTACACTGTCCAGCCCCCTGCTGATTACCCCCCTACACTGTCCAGCCCCTGCTGATTACCCCCCTACACTGTCCAGCCCCCTGCTGATTACCCCCCTACACTGTCAAGCCCCCTGCTGATTACCCCCTACACTGTCCAGCCCCTGCTGATTACCCCTCCCCTACACTGTCCAGCCCCCTGCTGATTACCCCCTACACTGTCCAGCCCCCTGCTGATTACCCCCTACACTGTCCAGCCCCCTGCTGATTTCCCCCTACACTGTTCAGCCCCCTGCTGATTACCCCCTACACTGTCCAGCCCCCTGCTGATTACCCCCTGTACACTGTCCAGCCCCCTGCTGATTACCCCCCTACACTGTCCAGCCCCCTGCTGATTACCCCTACACTGTCCAGCCCCCTGCTGATTACCCCCCTACACTGTCCAGCCCCCTGCTGATTACCCCCCCCTACACTGTCCAGCCCCTGCTGATTACCCCCCTACACTGTCCAGCCCCCTGCTGATTACCCCCCTACACTGTCCAGCCCCCTGCTGATTACCCCCCCCCCTACACTGTCCAGCCCCCTGCTGATTACCCCACTACACTGTCCAGCCCCCTGCTGATTACCCCCCTACACTGTCCAGCCCCCTGCTGATTACCCCCTACACTGTCCAGCCCCCTGCTGATTACCCCCCTACACTGTCCAGCCCCCTGCTGATTACCCCCCTACACTGTCCAGCCCCTTGCTGATTACCCCCCCCCCCTACACTGTCCAGCCCCTGCTGATTACCCCCCTACACTGTCCAGCCCCCTGCTGATTACCCACCCTACACTGTCCAGCCCCCTGCTGATTACCCACCCTACACTGTCCAGCCCCCTGCTGATTACCCACCCTACACTGTCCAGCCCCCTGCTGATTACCCCCCTACACTGTCCAGCCCCTGCTGATTACCCCCCCCCCCTACACTGTCCAGCCCCCTCCTGATTACCCCCCTACACTGTCCAGCCCCTGCTGATTACCCCCCTACACTGTCCAGCCCCTGCTGATTACCCCCCTACACTGTCCAGCCCCCTGTTGATTACCCCCTACACTGTCCAGCCCCTGCTGATTACCCCCCCTACACTGTCCAGCCCCTGCTGATTACCCCCCTACACTGTCCAGCCCCCTGTTGATTACCCCCTACACTGTCCAGCCCCTGCTGATTACCCCCCCCCCTACACTGTCCAGCCCCCTGCTGATTACCCCCCTACACTGTCCATCCCCCTGCTGATTACCCCCCTACACTGTCCAGCCCCCTGCTGATTACCCCCCCCCCTACACTGTCCAGCCCCCTGCTGATTACCCCCCTACACTGTCCAGCCCCTGCTGATTACCCCACCTACACTGTCCAGCCCCCTGCTGATTACCCCCCCCTACACTGTCCAGCCCCTGCTGATTACCCCCCTACACTGTCCAGCCCCCTGCTGATTACCCCCCCTACACTGTCCAGCCCCCTGCTGATTACCCCCCTACACTGTCCAGCCCCCTGCTGATTACCCCCCCTACACTGTCCAGCCCCCTGCTGATTACCCCCCTACACTGTCCAGCCCCCTGCTGATTACCCCCCTACACTGTCCAGCCCCTGCTGATTACCCCCCTACACTGTCCAGCCCCCTGCTGATTACCCCCCTACACTGTCCAGCCCCCTGCTGATTACCCCACCTACACTGTCCAGCCCCCTGCTGATTACCCCCCCTACACTGTCCAGCCCCCTGCTGATTACCCCCCCCCCTACACTGTCCAGCCCCTGCTGATTACCCCCCTACACTGTCCATCCCCCTGCTGATTACCCCCCTACACTGTCCATCCCCCTGCTGATTACCCCCCTACACTGTCCAGCCCCCTGCTGATTACCCACCCTACACTGTCCAGCCCCTGCTGATTACCCCCCCCCCTACACTGTCCAGCCCCCTGCTGATTACCCCCCCCTACACTGTCCAGCCCCTGCTGATTACCCCCCCCTACACTGTCCAGCCCCTGCTGATTACCCCCCCCTACACTGTCCAGCCCCTGCTGATTGCCCCCCCTTACACTGTCCAGCCCCCTGCCGATTACCCCCCCCTACACTGTCCAGCCCCTGCTGATTACTCCACCTACACTGTCCAGCCCCTGCTGATTACCCCCCTACACTGTCCAGCCCCCTGCCGATTACCCCCCTACACTGTCCAGCTCCTGCTGATTACCCCCTACACTGTCCAGCCCCCTGCTGATTACCCCCCTACACTGTCCAGCTCCTGCTGATTACCCCCTACACTGTCCAGCCCCCTGCTGATTACCCCCCTACACTGTCCAGCTCCTGCTGATTACCCCCTACACTGTCCAGCCCCCTGCTGATTACCCCCCTACACTGTCCAGCCCCTGCTGATTACCCCCCTACACTGTCCAGCCCCCTGCTGATTACCCCCCTACACTGTCCAGCCCCCTGCTGATTACCCCCTACACTGTCCAGCCCCCTGCTGATTACCCCCCCTACACTGTCCAGCCCCTGCTGATTACCCCCCTACACTGTCCAGCCCCTTGCTGATTACCCCCCTACACTGTCCAGCTCCTGCTGATTACCCCCCTACACTGTCCAGCCCCCTGCTGATTACCCCCCTACACTGTCCAGCTCCTGCTGATTACCCCCCCTACACTGTCCAGCCCCCTGCTGATTACCCCCTACACTGTCCAGCTCCTGCTGATTACCCCCCTACACTGTCCAGCCCCCTGCTGATTACCCCCCTACACTGTCCAGTTCCTGCTGATTACCCCCCTACACTGTCCAGCCCCCTGCTGATTACCCCCCTACACTGTCCAGTTCCTGCTGATTACCCCCTACACTGTCCAGCTCCTGCTGATTACCCCCCTACACTGTCCAGCCCCCTGCTGATTACCCCCCTACACTGTCCAGCTCCTGCTGATTACCCCCCTACACTGTCCAGCCCCCGTACATTCCTGGATAGGATTTCGGAAGATCCCTGAGGCCAGGCTCGACGTGTGATAACTTGGTCCAACAGACTGTTGCTTGGAGCGACCCGCAGGCCGGTACACTGTCCAGCCTAATACTTTGTCCACCACCAGTCCTCGGACCACCGGGCCAGGGCCCCGGGCCACCGGGCCAGGGCCCCGGACCACAGATACGACCACTAAGGAAGTGACGCAGTGCCCCGACCCAACCAACAATGCTATCCCCGAAGTCTTCACAAATTACTACACACAAAAGCCAGTCTCGGTATATTTAACCATCAACAATGTGAAAAGCAAGAAATTCTTAGATTACATTTGATCTGGCATATGTGTCTTGAGCCGTTAGCGCCGGAGTTGTCCTCACACACACGGCATCGTTCTCATGTCCGAGGACACGTCAACATCTCAAGTGTGAAGACAAAACTAATTGGAACATGGTGATTGAAGCAGTTTAGGTGGTTAAGGGTTCCCTAAAGGAAGCCTTAGGGGAAAGCCCTTAACCCTTTAGACAAGAGTTCCAGAGGGAACACCACATGCCCTCTGGAACGGGCATGCCCTCTGGAATTTCACGTGCCCCATGGAATTTCTGTTAAGAAAACCCTTAACCATTAACCCTTTAGACAGCAAAAACCCTTAACCATTAACCCTTTAGACAACAAAACTCCTTAACCATTAACCCTCTAGACAACAAAATCCCTTAACCATTAACCCTTTAGACAACAAAATCCCTTAACTCTTAACCCTTTAGACAACAAAAACCCTTAACCCTTTAGACAGCAAAAACCCTTAACCATTAACCCTTTAGACAACAAAAACCCTTAACCAGTAACTCTTTAGACAACAAAATCCCTTAACCATTAACCCTTTAGACAACAAAATCCCTTAACTCTTAACCCTTTAGACAACAAAAACCCTTAACCCTTTAGACAGCAAAAGCCCTTAACCATTACTCCTTTAGACAGCAAAAACCGTTAACCCTTGAGAGAGAGTTGGGCCCCAAAGTATGGCACTGTGCCTAAGTGTGTTGGTAAGAGTAGTGTGAGGCGAGGCGCTACTCACCGCCCATGGCACGCTTCTCGTTCCTCTTGCGGCGGTAGCAGACCACAGCCACGAACACGGACAGGGCCACGAAGCCGGCGGCTCCCACGGCCCCGATGAACCACGTCTCCCTCAACACGGCCATCAGCGGCGAGGGGACCCGACGGGCCTCGTCTGACCCCACGCTGGCCTGGGGGTCCTGCAGCCACGTGTGGCCCCCGGAGCTCGGCCCCTGCCCCGCTCTTTCGTACACAAATGGAAAAGTGATCAAAATAAAGGTTTCTGGGCAAGTCAACAGCAAAAATAGATAAAAATAATGGTAATATAGAGTGTACTAAAGCTTATTGCCTTCAAGTTACGTATATTCTGGAAAAAGATTGAAATCAAGAATAAACATTTATATGAATCTTAGATATAAAATACTGTGCAGGGGAAAATGAACTTATTTGGCAGTGTTATATTCTACAACACAGATACTGTCTTAAATCCTCGGCCTGATCAACCAGGCTGTGATTCATACATCAAGTTGTGAACAGCAGTGTCCAACAGCCTGGTTGACGAGGCCACCAACCAGGAGGCCTAGTCAGAGACCGGGCCGCGGGGACGTTGATCACCGGAACTCACCCCCCTCCCCTCCCAGACTCACTTGGTGTGGGCGGCGACGGTGGCGGTGAAGTGGAGGCCGAAGGTGAGGTTATGGAGGGTGAGACTGTGGAGGGCGCCGCCCACCGTCAGGTTAGAGTGAGCCTGAGTCTTGTTGATAAAGAGCCACACGGAGTAGCGGGTAATGCGACCGTTGGTGTGGGCCCGGGCCGGCGGCTGCCACGACAACACCACGCTCGTCCTGTTCAACACCAGGCTCTCCACTCCTGAAGGGGGCGCTGATGGCACTGTCAATGGACGCATTGTGGGGCTCTAGTACTCGGTAAAACCATGGCCAGTAGATATTAATGATCAGTACAACACCACACTGCACTCTGTCGTCATAAGGTACATGAAGATGTTCACCAATCCACACACTAGAAAATGAAGGGACGACGACGTTTCGGTCCGTCCTGGGCCATTCTTAATCGACTTGAGAATGGTCCAGGACCGAAACGTCGTCGTCCCTTCACTTTCTAGTATGAGGATTGGTCAACATACTTCAGCCACGTTAATGTGACTCATCGCCTGCGTACACGAGAATGTGTGTGTGTGTGTGTGTGTGTGTGTGTGTGTGTGTGTGTGTGTGTGTGTGTGTGTGTGTGTGTGTGTGTGTGTGTGTGTGTGTGTGTAATCTCGTTTACAAGTTTTAACTAGTGCAAGAGTCGAGAGAGAGGCAGCTTACCGTCTTCCTTGGTGCTAGCAATCCTGGAGTTGGAGGGGTGGCCGTGGATGTTCTTGTGGTAAGGCACAATGAAGAACTCGTACTCCGTATACTTGTCGAGGTCGGTGAGGGTGTAGGCATCCGGCCCAGACCGGATGACCGTCTCCATACGGAAGTGGTGAGTACCGGAGCTCAGATCCCGGTACCGTATGTAGAAGCCGTCCATGTAGTCCCCGAACTCCTGTACCTGTAGCGGGACGCACCGGTCAAGGCGGGTGGAACTAATTTAATTTCTTTCTTTATTATGCACCCCATACCCATCCCGTGGGCGGTGGTGTAAAGGATTACAGAGGAACATAATCGGTTCAGGAACTGAACCCTCTAGTTCGTTTAGCTAAGCAAACAATCTTTTGACGCTAAGTAATGCTCTATGTACCGTAATGTTTGGAAGATATCTTTGGGATGGGAACTACACCTGTGTAAAGACCAATCAAATTATAAGTACATAAATAATTTGGATGGAAGGAATGAAACTAACGATACCCTAATACTGTAAACGCGCTACCCCTCACAGGATGAGTATGGGGTGCACAATAAACTACCACTCACAAGATGAGTATGGGGTGCACAATAAACCACCACTCACAGGACGAGTATGGGGTGCACTATAAACTACCACTCACAGGACGAGTATGGGGTGCACTATAAACTACCACTCACAGGACGAGTATGGGGTGCACTATAAACTACCACTCACAGGATGAGTATGGGGTGCACAATAAACTACCACTCATAGGATGAGTATGGGTTGCACAATAAACTACCACTCACAGGATGAGTATGGGGTGCACAATAAACTACCACTCACAAGATGAGTATGGGGTGCACAATAAACCACCACTCACAGGACGAGTATGGGGTGCACTATAAACTACCACTCACAGGATGAGTATGGGGTGCACAATAAACTACCACTCATAGGATGAGTATGGGGTGCACAATAAACTACCACTCACAGGACGAGTATGGGGTGCACAATAAACCACCACTCACAGGACGAGTATGGGGTGCACAATAAACCACCACTCACAGGACGAGTATGGGGTGCACAATAAACTACCACTCACAGGATGAGTATGGGGTGCACAATAAACTACCACTCACAGGACGAGTATGGGGTGCACAATAAACCACCACTCACAGGATGAGTATGGGGTGCACAATACACTACCACTCACAGGATGAGTATGGGTTGCACAATAAACTACCACTCACAGGATGAGTATGGGGTGCACAATACACTACCACTCACAGGATGAGTATGGGGTGCACAATAAACTACCACTCACAGGATGAGTATGGGGTGCACAATACACTACCACTCACAGGATGAGTATGGGGTGCACAATAAACTACCACCCACAGGATGAGTATGGGGTGCACAATACACTACCACTCACAGGATGAGTATGGGGTGCACAATACACTACCACTCACAGGATGAGTATGGGGTGCACAATACACTACCACTCACAGGATGAGTATGGGGTGCACAATAAACTAGCCCTCACAGGATGAGTATGGGGTGCACAATAAACTACCACCCACAGGATGAGTATGGGGTGCACAATAAACTAGCCCTCACAGGATGAGTATGGGGTGCACAATAAACCACCACTCACAGGATGAGTATGGGGTGCACAATAAACTAGCCCTCACAGGATGAGTATGGGGTGCACAATAAACTAGCCCTCACAGGATGAGTATGGGGTGCACAATAAACCACCACTCACAGGATGAGTATGGGGTGCACAATAAACTACCCCACACAGGATGAGTATGGGGTGCACAATAAACTAGCCCTCACAGGATGAGTATGGGGTGCACAATAAACCACCACTCACAGGATGAGTATGGGGTGCACAATAAACTAGCCCTCACAGGATGAGTATGGGGTGCACAATAAACTACCACTCACAGGATGAGTATGGGGTGCACAATAAACCACCACTCACAGGATGAGTATGGGGTGCACAATAAACTAGCCCTCACAGGATGAGTATGGGGTGCACAATAAACTAGCCCTCACAGGATGAGTATGGGGTGCACAATAAACTAGCCCTCACAGGATGAGTATGGGGTGCACAATAAACTACCCCTCACAGGATGAGTATGGGGTGCACAATGAACTACCCCACACAGGATGAGTATGGGGTGCACAATAAACTACCCCACACAGGATGAGTATGGGGTGCACAATAAACTACCCCACACAGGATGAGTATGGGGTGCACAATAAACTAGCCCACACAGGATAAGTATGGGGTGCACAATAAACTACCACTCACAGGATGAGTATGGGGTGCACAATAAACTACCACTCACAGGATGAGTATGGGGTGCACAATAAACTAGCCCTCACAGGATGAGTATGGGGTGCACAATAAACTACCCCACACAGGATGAGTATGGGGTGCACAATAAACTAGCCCACACAGGATGAGTATGGGGTGCACAATAAACTAGCCCTCACAGGATGAGTATGGGGTGCACAATAAACTAGCCCACACAGGATGAGTATGGGGTGCACAATAAACTAGCCCTCACAGGATGAGTATGGGGTGCACAATAAACTAGCCCTCACAGGATGAGTATGGGGTGCACAATAAACTAGCCCTCACAGGATGAGTATGGGGTGCACAATAAACTAGCCCTCACAGGATGAGTATGGGGTGCACAATAAACTACCACTCACAGGATGAGTATGGGGTGCACAATAAACTACCACTCACAGGATGAGTATGGGGTGCACAATAAACTAGCCCTCACAGGATGAGTATGGGGTGCACAATAAACTACCCCACACAGGATGAGTATGGGGTGCACAATAAACTAGCCCACACAGGATGAGTATGGGGTGCACAATAAACTAGCCCACACAGGATGAGTATGGGGTGCACAATAAACTAGCCCACACAGGATGAGTATGGGGTGCACAATAAACTAGCCCACACAGGATGAGTATGGGGTGCACAATAAACTAGCCCACACAGGATGAGTATGGGGTGCACAATAAACTAGCCCACACAGGATGAGTATGGGGTGCACAATAAACTAGCCCACACAGGATGAGTATGGGGTGCACAATAAACTACCACTCACAGGATGAGTATGGGGTGCACAATAAACCACCACTCACAGAATGAGTATGGGGTGCACAATAAACTACCACTCACAGGATGAGTATGGGGTGCACAATAAACCACCACTCACAGGATGAGTATGGGGTGCACAATAAACTAGCCCACACAGGATGAGTATGGGGTGCACAATAAACTAGCCCACACAGGATGAGTATGGGGTGCACAATAAACTAGCCCACACAGGATGAGTATGGGGTGCACAATAAACTAGCCCACACAGGATGAGTATGGGGTGCACAATAAACTACCACTCACAGGATGAGTATGGGGTGCACAATAAACCACCACTCACAGGATGAGTATGGGGTGCACAATAAACTACCACTCACAGGATGAGTATGGGGTGCACAATAAACCACCACTCACAGGATGAGTATGGGGTGCACAATAAACTAGCCCACACAGGATGAGTATGGGGTGCACAATAAACTAGCCCACACAGGATGAGTATGGGGTGCACAATAAACTAGCCCACACAGGATGAGTATGGGGTGCACAATAAACTAGCCCACACAGGATGAGTATGGGGTGCACAATAAACTAGCCCACACAGGATGAGTATGGGGTGCACAATAAACTAGCCCACACAGGATGAGTATGGGGTGCACAATAAACTAGCCCACACAGGATGAGTATGGGGTGCACAATAAACTACCACTCACAGGATGAGTATGGGGTGCACAATAAACCACCACTCACAGGATGAGTATGGGGTGCACAATAAACTAGCCCACACAGGATGAGTATGGGGTGCACAATAAACTAGCCCACACAGGATGAGTATGGGGTGCACAATAAACTAGCCCACACAGGATGAGTATGGGGTGCACAATAAACTAGCCCACACAGGATGAGTATGGGGTGCACAATAAACTAGCCCACACAGGATGAGTATGGGGTGTACAATAAACTACCACTCACAGGATGAGTATGGGGTGCACAATAAACCACCACTCACAGGATGAGTATGGGGTGCACAATAAACCACCACTCACAGGATGAGTATGGGGTGCACAATAAACTAGCCCTCACAGGATGAGTATGGGGTGCACAATAAACTAGCCCACACAGGATGAGTATGGGGTGCACAATAAACTAGCCCACACAGGATGAGTATGGGGTGCACAATAAACTAGCCCTCACAGGATGAGTATGGGGTGCACAATAAACTAGCCCTCACAGGATGAGTATGGGGTGCACAATAAACTAGCCCACACAGGATGAGTATGGGGTGCACAATTAACTATCCCACACAGGATGAGTATGGGGTGCACAATAAACTAGCCCACACAGGATGAGTATGGGGTGCACAATTAACTAGCCCACACAGGATGAGTATGGGGTGCACAATAAACTACCCCACACAGGATGAGTATGGGGTGCACAATAAACTAGCCCACACAGGATGAGTATGGGGTGCACAATAAACTACCCCTCACAGGATGAGTATGGGGTGCACAATAAACTAGCCCACACAGGATGAGTATGGGGTGCACAATAAACTAGCCCTCACAGGATGAGTATGGGGTGCACAATAAACTAGCCCACACAGGATGAGTATGGGGTGCACAATTAACTAGCCCACACAGGATGAGTATGGGGTGCACAATAAACTACCCCACACAGGATGAGTATGGGGTGCACAATAAACTAGCCCTCACAGGATGAGTATGGGGTGCACAATAAACTAGCCCTCACAGGATGAGTATGGGGTGCACAATAAACTACCCCACACAGGATGAGTATGGGGTGCACAATAAACTAGCCCACACAGGATGAGTATGGGGTGCACAATAAACTAGCCCAAGGATGAGTATGGGGTGCACAATAAACTAGCCCACACAGGATGAGTATGGGGTGCACAATAAACTAGCCCACACAGGATGAGTATGGGGTGCACAATAAACTAGCCCACACAGGATGAGTATGGGGTGCACAATAAACTAGCCCACACAGGATGAGTATGGGGTGCACAATAAACTAGCCCACACAGGATGAGTATGGGGTGCACAATAAACTAGCCCTCACAGGATGAGTATGGGGTGCACAATAAACTAGTCCACTCACAGGATGAGTATGGGGTGCACAATAAACTAGCCCACACAGGATGAGTATGGGGTGCACAATAAACTAGCCCTCACAGGATGAGTATGGGGTGCACAATAAACTACCCCTCACAGGATGAGTATGGGGTGCACAATAAACTAGCCCTCACAGGATGAATATGGGGTGCACAATAAAGTTCCCCTCACAGGATGAGTATGGGGTGCACAATAAACTAGCCCTCACAGGATGAGTATGGGGTGCACAATAAACTAGCCCACACAGGATGAGTATGGGGTGCACAATAAACTAGCCCTCACAGGATGAGTATGGGGTGCACAATAAACTAGCCCACACAGGATGAGTATGGGGTGCACAATAAACTAGCCCACACAGGATGAGTATGGGGTGCACAATAAACTAGCCCACACAGGATGAGTATGGGGTGCACAATAAACTAGCCCACACAGGATGAGTATGGGGTGCACAATAAACTAGCCCACACAGGATGAGTATGGGGTGCACAATAAACTAGCCCTCACAGGATGAGTATGGGGTGCACAATAAACTAGCCCACACAGGATGAGTATGGGGTGCACAATAAACTAGCCCACACAGGATGAGTATGGGGTGCACAATAAACTAGCCCACACAGGATGAGTATGGGGTGCACAATAAACTAGCCCACACAGGATGAGTATGGGGTGCACAATAAACTAGCCCTCACAGGATGAGTATGGGGTGCACAATAAACTAGCCCTCACAGGATGAGTATGGGGTGCACAATAAACTAGCCCACACAGGATGAGTATGGGGTGCACAATAAACTAGCCCTCACAGGATGAGTATGGGGTGCACAATAAACTAGCCCTCACAGGAGGAGTATGGGGTGCACAATAAACTAGCCCTCACAGGATGAGTATGGGGTGCACAATAAACTACCCCACACAGGAGGAGTATGGGGTGCACAATAAACTAGCCCACTCCGACAGCAACACAAATAACCCTTTACAAAGAACACTTCCAATATTTTACACATTCTCGCGGCCGAAGAAAAAACTGTTATATAAACGAGTAAGATTTATTCGGAAGCGTTTTGGGTAATGTGGCTGAATGTGATTGACAACTGTGACAATGACGCGGGCGCCTGACAGCTGAGTGGACAGCGCTTCGGATTCATAGTCCTGAGGTTCCGGGTTCGATCCCCGGTGGAGAGGAGACAAATGGGTAAAAAGTTTCTTTCACCATGAATCACCTGTTATCTAGTAGCAAATAGGTACCTGGGAGTTAGACAGCTGCTACGGGCTGCTTCCTGGGGGTGTGTTACAAAAAGTAGGCCTGGTCGAAGACCGGGCCGCGGGGACGCTAAGCCCCGAAATTATCTCAAGATAACTTCAAGATAACCAAGATGACAAGCAAATAATGCCGACCACACACAGGGGAAAAGATATATAACGAGTAAAAATATGTCAAACCTTAGCAAATGCTCCGATGAAATATTCATTAATTTAAATTCAGACGAGAACAAGAGGCTTTGTGATTTATTGTATTAAATTGTACACATGTTTACCAGAAATTATAATTTGCCAAATGTTGTACAAGGAAAAAAATACGCTTTATGAAAGAGATTTACTAAAACAAAACAAACTTTTAAAAATTAAGCTTCTAGCCATCAATAAAAAACGGAAAAAAGCATATTGACGGACGTAAAGTAGAGTAAGGCTTGGCGACAACACAGGGTGTGGCGCAGATTTAAGAACAAGTTAAGAAAAGTAAACAAAAAATAAGAATAAGACAAAAGAGGAAGGAGAGAGCCGCCGCATGAACCTACCTTCCAGACGAGCCTGATGGCGGTGGAGGAGACGGCCGTGGGCGGCAGGAGGGACACGAAGGGGTGAGAGAGGGCGGCCCTCACCTGGGGGTCGTCGTCCTCGTCACGGGCCGTCCCCCCACCGTCCACCACCCGTCGACCACCCGTTACTAGCGGCCCCGAGACGGGTGACGCCGCAGACACCCCGTGCATGTTCATGGCCCTGAAGGGTAAAGGCAGGCAGGGAATTATTAGGGGAGAAGCTACTCCCTGAGGGAAAATGTGGGAACATTTAGTATACCGGACGCCACTTAGTATACACTGGCATTCCATATGGACAGGAGTATACACTGGCATTCCATATGGACAGGAGTATACACTGGCATTCCATTTGGACAGGAGTATACACTGGCATTCCATATGGACAGGAGTATACACTGGCATTCCATATGGACAGGAGTATACACTGGCATTCCATATGGACAGGAGTATACACTGGCATTCCATTTGGACAGGAGTATACACTGACATTCCATTTGGACAGGATGTCTAAGTTACGTTTATCGAGACAATTGAAAACGATAGAGTACCTTAGGCTACGTCTACCCTCCTAGAACGGTTATGACACTAAGTCTGCGTGGCTATCCAAACGGTCACCCATCCAACTACAGGTCTCTGTTCACGGTATATCCACAAAATAATGATTTCCTGACTGTGTGCCTCCGACACCCACATGTTGGCACGAGTGTCGCATGAACACCTACTGTACCAATGATGATAATAACACAGTGATCACACTAACGTGACTATCAATGAGAAAATCTGTAGGAACCGTGATGAGGCTTCGAACCTACGGGCTGGGTGTTCCCAGACACCCGCTCTAGGCAGCTAGGCCACATGTGGTCTACTGCCTATGCCGGGAACACCCACAAGTTCGAGTCCTCATCACGGCTCCTTCAGATTTTCTCAATTTTTTTCAATAATGATAATATTAATAAATGCTATTTAGATAATAATCATTTAAAGCACGTTTCATTGGGTCATTCGTCGGTACACATGTAAGTTATATCAAGCCACTAATATACAAAGCGTTTCTGGCACAATTTAAATAATTAGATAATTTATAAGTTTAATGGGGTGACACTTAATACTAAACGGTAAGCTAACATGTATGAATTGTTACAAAAATTGAACAAATGATATACATTTTTAATGTGTGTGAACAATGAAGGTGAAGCACCGAGACGGCTCGACACACAGGGAGCTCTCAGCTCGACACACATGGAGCTCTGGGCTCGACACACAGGGAGCTCTCAGCTCGACACACATGGAGCTCTGGGCTCGACACACAGGGAGCTCTCAGCTCGACACACATGGAGCTCTGGGCTCGACACACAGGGAGCTCTCAGCTCGACACACAGGGAGTTCTCGGCTCGACACACAGGGAGCTCTCAGCTCGACACACACAGGGAGCTCTCAGCTCGACACACACAGGGAGCTCTCAGCTCGACACACATGGAGCTCTCAGCTCGACACACACAGGGAGCTCTCAGCTCGACACACACAGGGAGCTCTCAGCTCGACACACATGGAGCTCTCGGCTCGACACACACGGAGCTCTCAGTTCGACACACACAGGGAGCTCTCGGCTCGACACACAGGGAGCTCTCGGCTCGACACACACAGGGAGCTCTCGGTTCGACACACACAGGGAGCTCTCGGCTCTACACACAGGGAGCTCTCAGCTCGACACACACAGGGAGCTCTCAGCTCGACACACACACAGGGAGCTCTCAGCTCGACACACACACAGGGAGCTCTCAGCTCGACACACACACAGGGAGCTCTCAGCTCGACACACACACAGGGAGCTCTCAGCTCGACACACACACAGGGAGCTCTCAGCTCGACACACACACAGGGAGCTCTCAGCTCGACACACACACAGGGAGCTCTCAGCTCGACACACACACAGGGAGCTCTCAGCTCGACACACACACAGGGAGCTCTCAGCTCGACACACACAGGGAGCTCTCAGCTCGACACACACAGGGAGCTCTCAGCTCGACACACACAGGGAGCTCTCAGCTCGACACATACAGGGAGCTCTCAGCTCGACACACACAGGGAGCTCTCAGCTCGACACACACAGGGAGCTCTCAGCTCGACACACACAGGGAGCTCTCAGCTCGACACACACAGGGAGCTCTCGGCTCGACACACACAGGGAGCTCTCGGCTCGACACACACAGGGAGCTCTCAGCTGGGGCCAGATTCACGAAGCAGTTACGCAAGCACTTACGAACGTGTACATCTTTCCTCAATCTTTGACGGCTTTGGTTACATTTATTAAACAGTTTACAAGCATGAAAACTTGCCAATCAACTGTTGTTATTGTTATAAACAGCCTCCTGGTGCTTCGGAGCTCATTAACTGTTTAATAATTGTAAACAAAGCCGGCAAAGATTGAGAAAAGATGTACAAGTTTGTAAGTGCTTGCGTAACTGCTTCGTGAATCTGGTCCCTGATAAATATATCTGGAAACAGTCATGTCAAGGAAAACGGAGCAGAGGGAGACAGCGAGGAGTCGTGACTCAAGGCACCACTGATGGAACAGTTCGCTGTAATGTTGTAAAGGAACAACTCCCACAATACTTGCTACAGGTGATCCCCGTGTGGGGCTCCAGTAACCATACCAGGACACCACACACAGAGTTCACACTAACGTGATGCATCAAATAAACAAATCCACATGGGCCGTGATGAGGATTCGAACCTGCGTCCGGGTGCATCCCAGACACTGCCGCAATCGACTGAGCTACGACAGGGTAAAAAAAGGGTTGAAACCGAAGTTCTACTGAACTTACTGGATCCCGTAGCCTCTCCGAGGCACAAACCAGGATTTTACCCTGTCGTAGCTCAGTCGATTAAGTGTCTGGGATGCTCCCGGACGCAGGTTCGAATCCTCGTCACGGCCCTTGTGGATTTGTTCATTCCAGGACATGTTGGTACATAAATTACTGTTCCTAAGATATGTTAACTGGTTGCATAAAGCTCGTATAGGCAGTTGGCAAATTAAATGACCCGTAACGTACAAAACAGGGCAGGCAAATTACACCGTCGCCTACTTCTTAATACAACAATCTACATATCTATGTACATTTGCAAATTATCCAAAGGAACAAAAGTAATTTCAACATGCAATATACCTAAAGACAACAATAACTTCTTTCTTAATTAATTCACTGATTTACCGCCTATTGCTTAATTTGCATATGTCTACGCCTGCGCAAGGAAGTGCAACCTAATTGAGAATACACTTAAGGTGAAGACTGCACGTCAGCCTCTGTTGGAAGAATACGCCAGAAGCATTACAAGGCATGCAATGGTATGTGAATTATTATGATATATTAATGCTAAAGAGGCCTAGACAACCACCTGTGGGAGGCCTAGACAACCACCTGTGGGAGGCCTAGACAACCACCTGTGGTGGCCCAGACAACCACCTGTGGTGGCCCAGACAACCACCTGTGGGAGGCCTAGACAACCACCTGTGGGAGGCCTAGACAACCACCTGTGGTGGCCCAGACAACCACCTGTGGGTGGCCTAGACAACCACCTGTGGTGGCCCAGACAACCACCTGTGGTGGCCCAGACAACCACCTGTGGTGGCCCAGACAACCACCTGTGGTGGCCCAGACAACCACCTGTGGGAGGCCTAGACAACCACCTGTGGGAGGCCTAGACAACCACCTGTGGTGGCCCAGACAACCACCTGTGGGAGGCCTAGACAACCACCTGTGGTGGCCCAGACAACCACCTGTGGTGGCCCAGACAACCACCTGTGGTGGCCTAGACAACCACCTGTGGGAGGGCCAGACAACCACCTGTGGTGGCCCAGACAACCACCTGTGGTGGCCCAGACAACCACCTGTGGGAGGGCCAGACAACCACCTGTGGTGGCCCAGACAACCACCTGTGGGAGGACCAGACAACCACCTGTGGTGGCCCAGACAACCACCTGTGGTGGCCCAGACAACCACCTGTGGGTGGCCCAGACAACCACCTGTGGGAGGCCTAGACAACCACCTGTGGTGGCCCAGACAACCACCTGTGGTGGCCCAGACAACCACCTGTGGTGGCCCAGACAACCACCTGTGGGAGGCCTAGACAACCACCTGTGGGAGGCCCAGACAACCACCTGTGGTGGCCCAGACAACCACCTGTGGTGGCCCAGACAACCACCTGTGGGAGGCCCAGACAACCACCTGTGGTGGCCCAGACAACCACCTGTGGGTGGCCCAGACAACCACCTGTGGTGGCCCAGACAACCACCTGTGGTGGCCCAGACAACCACCTGTGGGAGGCCCAGACAACCACCTGTGGTGGCCCAGACAACCACCTGTGGTGGCCCAGACAACCACCTGTGGTGGCCCAGACAACCACCTGTGGGTGGCCCAGACAACCACCTGTGGTGGCCCAGACAACCACCTGTGGGAGGGCCAGACAACCACCTGTGGGTGGCCCAGACAACCACCTGTGGGAGGCCTAGACAACCACCTGTGGAGGCCCAGACAACCACCTGTGGTGGCCCAGACAACCACCTGTGGTGGCCCAGACAACCACCTGTGGAGGCCCAGACAACCACCTGTGGTGGCCCAGACAACCACCTGTGGTGGCCCAGACAACCACCTGTGGGAGGGCCAGACAACCACCTGTGGTGGCCCAGACAACCACCTGTGGTGGCCCAGACAACCACCTGTGGTGGCCCAGACAACCACCTGTGGTGGCCCAGACAACCACCTGTGGGAGGACCAGACAACCACCTGTGGTGGCCCAGACAACCACCTGTGGTGGCCCAGACAACCACCTGTGGTGGCCCAGACAACCACCTGTGGTGGCCCAGACAACCACCTGGGGGTGGCCCAGACCACCACCTGTGGTGGCCCAGACAACCACCTGTGGTGGCCCAGACAACCACCTGTGGTGGCCCAGACAACCACCTGTGGTGGCCCAGACAACCACCTGTGGTGGCCCAGACAACCACCTGTGGTGGCCCAGACAACCACCTGTGGTGGCCCAGACAACCACCTGTGGTGGCCCAGACAACCACCTGTGGGAGGCCCAGACAACCACCTGTGGTGGCCCAGACAACCACCTGTGGGTGGCCCAGACAACCACCTGTGGGTGGCCCAGACCTCCACCTGTGGTGGCCCAGACAACCACCTGTGGTGGCCCAGACAACCACCTGTGGGTGGCCCAGACAACCACCTGTGGTGGCCCAGACAACCACCTGTGGGTGGCCCAGACAACCACCTGTGGTGGCCCAGACAACCACCTGTGGGAGGCCCAGACAACCACCTGTGGTGGCCCAGACAACCACCTGTGGGAGGCCCAGACAACCACCTGTGGGTGGCCCAGACAACCACCTGTGGGTGGCCCAGACAACCACCTGTGGTGGCCCAGACAACCACCTGTGGGTGGCCCAGACAACCACCTGTGGGTGGCCCAGACAACCACCTGTGGGTGGCCCAGACAACCACCTGTGGGAGGGCCAGACAACCACCTGTGGGTGGCCCAGACAACCACCTGTGGGTGGCCCAGACAACCACCTGTGGTGGCCCAGACAACCACCTGTGGGTGGCCCAGACAACCACCTGTGGTGGCCCAGACAACCACCTGTGGGTGGCCCAGACAACCACCTGTGGTGGCCCAGACAACCACCTGTGGTGGCCCAGACAACCACCTGTGGTGGCCCAGACAACCACCTGTGGGTGGCCCAGACCTCCACCTGTGGTGGCCCAGACAACCACCTGTGGGTGGCCCAGACAACCACCTGTGGGTGGCCCAGACCTCCACCTGTGGTGGCCCAGACAACCACCTGTGGGTGGCCCAGACAACCACCTGTGGGTGGCCCAGACAACCACCTGTGGGTGGCCCAGACAACCACCTGTGGGTGGCCCAGACAACCACCTGTGGGTGGCCCAGACAACCACCTGTGGGTGGCCCAGACCTCCACCTGTGGTGGCCCAGACAACCACCTGTGGGTGGCCCAGACAACCACCTGTGGGAGGGCCAGACCAAATCATAGCCCCCAGAGAGGAGCGCTAATCACCCCCCCCCTCCCAAACACATCCAATCAGTAACGAAGGCCAGGGATTGTGAACAATCCTTCATGTGCAGGATTAGAAAAGTCTTTCCTCGCCACTAGAAAATAAATCCAGGATTCGAAAAAAAAACCCCGAGGCCACGACAATGTTCTTGCTCTAATATTTTCGACCTGCCGGGACATGTTAAGGATGTAGAACGTACCTGACGATGGCGCGGTACTGGGTGTAGGGCTTGAGACCCGTGACTGTGTAGGTCTCGGCAGGGATGTGCTCCTCCAGCGGCTGCCACGACCCTGCACCACTCCACATCTGCCACAGGGAACACAATTAGCCTCACCATCACATCCCACACTAACAAGTCCACTACGGGATCACCATAGCCCGTGCTACTTTGAACTTTTTATTCCAAGTAGCGATTCTTGAACAACAACAATATCCCACAATATAACCGGACATAACTCACACACCGTACAATATGACCGGACATAACTCACACACGGTACAATATGACCGGACATAACTCACACACCGTACAATATGACCGGACATAACTCACACACCGTACAATATGACCGGACATAACTCACACACCGTACAATATAACCGGACATAACTCACACACCGTACAATATGACCGGACATAACTCACACACGGTACAATATGACCGGACATAACTCACACACGGTACAATATGACCGGACATAACTCACACAGTCGTCAGGTAGAGTTAGGTGAATATACCTTTCTCAGTCGGTCTGTGTTAGTGACTCCATAACTACGATTGCAATGACTCGTAAGTACAAGGAGGTAGAACAATGCTCAAAATAAATAACCCTGCATGTCTGCGTTCAATCCCCCGACCGTCTAAGTGGTTGGGCACCATTCCTTCCCCCGTCCCATCCCCAATCCTTATCCTGACCCCTTCCCAGTGCTATATAGTCGTAATGGCTTGGCGCATTCCCCTGATAATTCCTTTCCTCTCATCCTGCCAGAGGCTATCTTCTTGAGGTTATCTTGAGATGATTTCGGGGCTTAGCGTCCCCGCGGCCCGGTCCTCGACCAGGCCTCCTTTTTAACACCCCCCCCCCCCCAGGAAACAGCCCGTAACAGCTGTCTAACTCTTAGGTACCTATTTACTGCTAGGTTAACAGGAGCATCAGGGTGAAAGGAACTCTTTGCCCATTTGTCTCCGCCTCCACCGGGGATCGAACCCGGAACCTCAGGACTACGAAACCGAAGCGAATGACCATAACAATGAGTTGTGTTTCCACAACCCGTCTTCCTGTCTATGTGGCTCATGTTGTAACTATGTGGACGGCACAACTGGTCAATGACCGGGCCGCGGGGACGCTAAGCCCCGGAAGCTCCTCAAGGTAACCTCAAGGTAAGGTAACCATGATAAAGGGAGCCGGTCGGCCGAGCGGACAGCACGCTGGCCTTGTGATCCTGTGGTTCCGGGTTCGATCCCGGGCGCTGGTGAGAAACAATGGGCAGAGTTTCTTTCACCCTATGCCCCTGTTACCTAGCAGTAAAATAGGTACCTGGGTGTTAGTCAGCTGTCACGGGCTGCTTCCTGTTTTTTTTTTTTTTTATTATTATTTTCTACCACAGACGTGGCCACACATTTACAATGCTAACCAGCATATATACATTTTCTTCTGTCCTCCATGGACAGGGTTAGAGAAGTGTTAAACATACAGTTCAAGGGTTTATTGAACACTCAACCACAGAAGGTGATTCGGTGCTTTTAAAATGCTAAGCTAACCTACATACGTAAATACATAGATACACAGATTTACGTATGCCCTACATAAAGTATTAGATGTGTCTTTTACATAGTGTCATTAATGTACATTCACAAAGGTGAAATGTAATTCTGATCAGCTTCCATATATGCTTTATACCCATACATATACATACACACACACACACATACACATACATATATACACACACACATGCATTCACATACATTTGTCTCATTTACCCTGACAGGGTGAGGTAGCTGATAAAGAAACTAGTGTGCAATTAAGCACTTAATCACTGAAGGTGATGAAGGTGCTTTTACAAGCTCAGGTTATATAGTTACATCACATACATACATTGTATGATTGATACATTACATGGTCAATTTTGGGTACAAGTCCAATATATCATCAAGTGTTCCAGTACTCATATAGTAACTACAGAGTTCAGCATACCTTAGCCCAGGAGGGCGAAAGTCAGTCAGTATGGGACATTCTACAATATAATGTTCAAGAGAGTGCATGCTTTCTCTTTCACAAAGTTGACACAATGTGTACTCGACATTTGGGTTTTGAGAAAGCTGCCAGATACGTCTATATCCCAGGCGTATTCTGGCCACTATAACATCACATTGCCGGGTTCTTGTTCTATTAGTCCCATATGTGAATGTCTCCTCACGATATCTATCACAATATTTAATGCTACAACTTTCAGGTCTTTGAGAATTTGTTAGGTCGGTGAGATTTTCATTAGATATTTGTTTAAGTATTCTCTTTGTCACTGCTAATGAAACACCCATATCAATTTCTACCACTGGTTTTCTGCAGGCTGACTTAGCAAGCATATCAACAGTGTCATGCCTTGAGATGCCTGGGGGTGGAGGCCTGGTCGAGGACCGGGCCGCGGGGACACTAAAGCCCCGAAATCATCTCAAGATAACCATCGTACATATATTGACGTAGTGGACAATTACATAGAATTTGATACTATTCACTTCACAGAGTCCGGAAAAAATAAAGCTAAAAAAAAGTTAGATATTCCCAGGCCAATATAGCTCATATATGTACTATATAGCGTGAAATAGGCCTAAGAAGGTCTTCGTTAGTACTTCTCCACAAGTACTGTCTAAACTGCCTGGTTCTCCCCTAACTCTGGTCTAACACAAACTATAACTGAAATATTATTCATTAGTAACTACAAGTCTATATATGACGCTCCATGAACTGCACTCCCGGCTTTGACCTGCCGTGTTGCCCTGCAGGAAAGGTGTGCTGCACTTTACCTACCTCCAGAATGTAGCTGGTGATAGGAGAGGCCCCTTCGTGGTCTGGCGGGCCCCAGACCAGTGTCAACGTGCTGGAATTGCGGGCTCGCAGGGCTGGGGGCTTTGGGGGTCCGGGCAGGTCTCTAGGGTCTGGGGCGGGCGTGGTCCGGGCCGCAGCTGGACTGTCCGGGGAGACCACCTGCAGGTGGCTGGTGGCGGTGGTGGTGCCGGCCTCGGACACCGCCGAGCACTGGTACTCCCCGGAGTCCTCGTCCCTGATGCCTGCAACACAAGACGCACCTCTACTTAGTTGAGAGGCGGGACCAAAGAGCCAGAGTTCAACCCCCGCTAGCACAGCTAGATAAGTACAAAATGTTTACTTCAAGCATACACAAGTCACAGTAACGGGGCTGGAGATGTGGCACTCATCCCACACCTGACAATACAGAAAGCGAGAAACGTTTCCGTCCGTCCGTCGTCTTGGACCACTATAAAGTTATTTCTACATTTTTATTTCGCCTACGTATCCTCGACCATTATCGCAACTTCCATCTTAGCCAGTCGTTGGTCAAGGGCAGGGGAGGCGAACCTATGGCACGCGTGCCAAGGATGGCATGCGAGCAAGTTTTGTAGCACGCGGCAAAAAAAAAAATTACATTATTCAAAGCATAGCAGATTTACCAGCGAGTAGAAACACAGTTAAAGACTGAACATTAAAGTTGTAACAAACTTAGCAAATCAACTAACAAAATAAAATGGTTCATGTAAATTCCTTTCTATTTGCTGTAATGAGATCACTGATGTTACGTCATCTGCTAGGCTAGTGATTATTGCTCAACGCTGTACGGGTGATGAAATACGTGATAAACAGAGGCTGAAACATGCAAGGTAGTAGCAAACGAATTATCTAATCGAGAGATTGACCTTTCTAAAATATTCACTGTGACAATTGATGGTGCACCACTCAACATGGTTGGTAAAGAAGAAAGTTTGGAAAATAATGTTGGACATCGACTGTTAGACTTTCACTGTATTATACATGACGACTTGAGTGCAAAAGCTGACCTTAAGAAACGTGAAGAGATGATGAATATCGTAATCAACACAGTTAATTCTATTTCTGTGTACACTTAAACACAAATATACAATTTCAGAATTAACTGAGAGAGGTGAATTCTGTGTACACAGCATTACTTATGAACAACAATGTTCATTGGCCTAGAATTTGTTCTGTTCTTCAATAATCTGTTGAGTGTTTGGATGAAATTTCTGTTTTTAACGAATGAAAAATTCTTTTCTAGAATTACCTGATGTATGGATTTGTATATGGATGTATTTCATAGATTTTCTTCGCATTTAAATGACCTGAAACACCAAATTAATAGGATTTGGCAACACACTTGATGTTATGTTATAATAAAAACAAACTTTGAATTCAAACTAAAAATGTTTAAACTTGACGTTGCCAACGGCATATTTAAACATTTCCCCAGACCTGAAAACACAACATCTTGAAATTCACGAGAAAACAGACATTATTAAGAGCTTTCAAATGCAATTTTTAAACATCACTAATTTAACTGTTGATAAATTCTCAGCAAGATTGACTAAATTCTGGTCATTTTAAGGCACTGTAAACTCAAAATTTCCAGTGAAACATTAGACAAACTGAAATTGGAAAGACAGTGGATTGATTTGGATAAATGGAAGATGAAACTGATTAACAAAGCAACTCATTTCAGAGGCCAAAATTTGTTGACTTAAAAGCTGAACTCAAAAATATTATATGAGACCGATTAGTGACTGAATTAAAGCAGAAAAAATGCCAAAACATTAGGTTTTGAAACTTTGAAATTCAAAGCCTTTGAATTAGGCTTTGTCATCGATATATTCATGCGAGTCATTGTTTTCATTGATGAATTTTGTCGAGTGTAAATTGCGGGAGCTTTGCAGACTTACTGATGAAACTATTGAAGTACCTATAACTCTCACCAGAACCTCAATGTGATGTCATTGATGATACAGCGACACTCAGGCGCACTCAGGAGCATTATAACTTTATTTGCTTTTCGTTGTTGTATAATGTGCACCAAAGCTGTTATAATGTCACGTTCACATTTCTTGTTGGTTATAATGTAAAACACTCTAAATTATGTTACTTTTTAATTGTCTTGTTAAAAACATTAATATTAAATAATTTTTTAACAGACTTTCTTGAACGTTTTCATTGACTGTAGTTCAATCTCTCTCATACTTTTGTTAACAATAAAACAATAAATATACCCTTAAAAAAATAGGCTTTCCCTTTCCTTAAAATAGTTCATTATTATTGTTACTAATTCATTATACAAGTTTACATCATGGCAATAAGAAGTTAGTAATAACACATACAGTCATTGCTAAATCTATTCAATATAAACAGTTCACAAGAATTATTAGTTACTTACAGATCTTCGGAAATGCTTTCAAGCCTTGTGCTCTCTTCATAAAAAACTACAAAATACAAAATATAATAAAAATAAATAATAATATGCCGCTCAAAATTCCCAGAGACAAGCTAGAAAATTGTTTAAATTAATTATTGCCAATTAGCTGAAGTATTGTTCGAGTTTCTATAGAATGTGAAAATATATTTTAAATCCACGTGTAAACCGCGAGTTAAATTATATATTTCTTCAGGGCACGAGAGCCGTTGAGCCCCGGTAGGGTGGGGATAACTGAGGCAGGGGAAGATTAGGCATATATCGAGCAGTGAGGAGAAATGTCTTAATATCCCGGCCAGGCAGGGAAATATCCCGGCCAGGCAGGGAAATATCCCGGCCAGGCAGGGATATATCCCGGCCAGGCAGGGATATATCCCGGCCAGGCAGGGATATATCTCGGCCAGGCAGGGAAATATCCCGGATAGGCAGGGAAATATCCCGGCCAGGCAGGGAAATATCCCGGCCAGGCAGGGAAATATCCCGGCCAGGCAGGGAAATATCCCGGCCAGGCAGGGAAATATCCCGGCCAGGCAGGGAAATATCCCGGCCAGGCAGGGAAATATCCCGGCCAGGCAGGGAAATATCCCGGCCAGGCAGGGATATATCCCGGTCATGCAGGGAAATATCCCGGCCAGGCAGGGAAATATCCCGGCTAGGCAGGGAAATATCCCGGATAGGCAGGGAAATATCCCGGCCAGGCAGGGAAATATCCCGGCCAGGCAGGGAAATATCCCGGCCAGGCAGGGAAATATCCCGGCCAGGCAGGGAAATATCCCGGCCAGGCAGGGAAATATCCCGGCCAGGCAGGAAAATATCCCGGCCAGGCAGGGAAATATCCCGGCCAGGCAGGGAAATATCCCGGCCAGGCAGGGAAATATCCCGGCCAGGCAGGGAAATATCCCGGCCAGGCAGGGATATATCCCGGTCATGCAGGGAAATATCTCGGCCAGGCAGGGAAATATCTCGGCCAGGCAGGGAAATATCTCGTGCAGGCAGAGAAATATCCCGCATTCCCCCTAGTACTTAATTACTTGTATTGATCCCTTAATTGTGGGTGCCGGCTCCTTGTGCAGTAGGCAGCTTCTCCTGCCACTACCCTGGACCCTCTACAGTGTTGGTCACTCTACTACCCTGGACCCTCTACAGTGTTGGTCACTCTACTACCCTGGACCCTCTACAGTGTTGGTCACTCTACTACCCTGGACCCTCTACAGTGTTGGTCACTCTACTACCCTGGACCCTCTACAGTGTTGGTCACTCTACTACCCTGGACCCTCTACAGTGTTGGTCACTCTACTACCCTGGACCCTCTACAGTGTTGGTCACTCTACTACCCTGGACCCTCTACAGTGTTGGTCACTCTACTACCCTGGACCCTCTACAGTGTTGGTCACTACTACCCTGGACCCTCTACAGTGTTGGTCACTCTACTACCTGGGACCCTCTACAGTGTTGGTCACTCTACTACCCTGGACCCTCTACAGTGTTGGTCACTCTACTACCCTGGACCCTCTACAGTGTTGGTCACTCTACTACCCTGGACCCTCTACAGTGTTGGTCACTCTACTACCCTGGACCCTCTACAGTGTTGGTCACTCTACTACCCTGGACCCTCTACAGTGTTGGTCACTACTACCCTGGACCCTCTACAGTGTTGGTCACTCTACTACCCTGGACCCTCTACAGTGTTGGTCACTCTACTACCTGGGACCCTCTACAGTGTTGGTCACTCTACTACCTGAAACCCTCTCCAGTGTTGCCACCTCTACTACCTGACACCCTCTCCAGTGGTCCAGTGGTGCCACCTCTACTACCTGACACCCTCTCCAGTGGTCCAGTGGTGCCACCTCTACTACCTGAAACCCTCTCCAGTGTTGCCACCTCTACTACCTAAAACCCTCTCCAGTGGTGCCACCTCTACTACCTGACACCCTCTCCAGTGGTCCAGTGGTGCCACCTCTACTACCTGACACCCTCTCCAGTGGTCCAGTGGTGCCACCTCTACTACCTGACACCCTCTCCAGTGTTGCCACCTCTACTACCTAAAACCCTCTCCAGTGGTGCCACCTCTACTACCTGAAACCCTCTCCAGTGGTGCCACCTCTACTACCTGAAACCCTCTCCAGTGTTGCCACCTCTACTACCTGAAACCCTCTCCAGTGGTGCCACCTCTACTACCTGACACCCTCTCCAGTGGTCCAGTGGTGCCACCTCTACTACCTGAAACCCTCTATAGTGGTGCCACCTCTACCAAATTAAGACGCCTAAATTTCCTAAAATTACATATTAATGTTATTACCTATAATAATAATAATAATAATAATAATAATAATAATAATAATAATAATAATAATAATAATAATAATAATAATATGTATACTGGCTGTATACATAAAGGTTGAAGAGTGTCTTGTACTGACCGTTGAGCTGGAGGGAGCCGGAGCCCAAGAGTGTGATCCTGGAGTCGTCGTCAGGAAGGTCGAGGTGGTCCTTGGTCCAGGTGACCCTGGGGGCGGGGTCGCCCTCCGCCTGGCACACCAGGAGGGCCACGGCCCCCGGGGTCACCGTCAGGTTCCGGGGCGGCACGGAGATGACGGGCGGCGGGTGGAGGGTCGGCGCCGGCACGTCCAGCAGCGCCCGCGCCACTAGCGACCCCGCGGCCGACACCGCGGCGCACGAGTACCACCCGGCCAGCTCCCGCCGTACCTGCGGCACCACCATGCAAACTGCTAGACACAATAACATAGTCAGACACGAGGGAATATCAAAATACCCCAAATCACGTCAAATCTCCAGGCCATACGAGGGAAGACATGGCTAACAAACCTCTGAGAGTCCCGCCCCCAGGACTCGACCATGCAAACTGCTAGACACAATAACACGGTCAAACACGAGGGAATATCAAAATAACCCAAATCACGTCAAATTTCCAGGCCATACGAGGGAAGACATGGCTAACAAACCTCTGAGAGTCCTGCCCCCAGGACTCGACCATGCAAACTGCTAGACATGATAACATGGTCAGACACGAGGAAATATCAAAATAATCCAAATTGCGTCAAATCTCCAGGCCCATACGATGGGAAGACATGGCTAACAAACCTGTGAGAGTCCTGGCCCGCAGGAATGCCCCGCCCTCACCTGGTTGATGATGAGGGTGCCCTCAGCGTTGACCCAGACGTTGGGCTGGTCCCCGGGCTCCCCTGACGGCGTGTCCTGGCGGGGCAGCAGCAGGTTGTGGTCGTCCTGACGACTCCACACCACCAGCGGCGGAGGACGACCCACCGCCAGGCACTCGAACGCTGCCGACGACCCTGCGGTGGCCTTCACGTCCTGCGGTCGTACTAGGAACTCCGGAGCAGCTGAAACAGGGAGTCGAACCTGGGGTGTCTGACTGGTTGTATGGAAGAGTATGAGGCTAGGTTTGTATGTGTCGTGTGAGTGAGTGAGTGAGTGAGTGAGAGAGAGAGAGAGAGAGAGAGAGAGAGAGAGAGAGAGAGAGAGAGAGAGAGAGAGAGAGAGAGAGAGAGAGAGAGAGAGAGAGAGAGAGAGAGAGAGAGAGAGAGAGAGAGAGAGAGAGAGAGAGACAGACAGAGACAGACAGAGAGAGAGTCACTGGAAACAGGAGAAACAGAAATTACTGGAAACAGGAGACCTACCAGAAAGTTGGAAGACAGCTAACATAGTCCCAATATACAAGGGTGACAGGCAAGAGGCACTGAACTACAGGCCAATTTCCCTAACTTGTATACCATGCAAGGTGATGGAGAAGATCGTGAGGAAAAGGCTCGTAGAACATCTGGAGGGAAATAACTTTGTAACGCACCACCAACATGGGTTCAGGGATGGTAAATCGTGCCTCACAGGCCTAATAGAATTCTATGACCAGACAACACAAATTAGGCAAGAAATAGAAGGGTGGGCGGACTGCAGCCTTTTCTTAGACTGTCAGAAAGCCTTCGACACAGTGAGGGGGAAGACATCAGAGTGGCGAGATGTCACCAGCGGAGTCCCACAGGCTCAGTACTCGGACCCATCCTGTTTCTAATATATGTGAACGATCTTCCAGAGGGTATAGACTCATTCCTCTCGATGTTTGCAGAATCAAGACATGAAGATAGACAGAGACTACAGGATGACCTGGATAAACTGGAGGAATGGTCTAGAAAATGGCTGCTAAAGTTCAACTCAGGAAAGTGTAAGGTAATGAAATTAGGCGAAGGGAGCAGGAGGCTGAACACAAGGTATCATCTGGGATGGGAAATCCTGCAAGAGTCAAATAGATAGAATGAACTAGGGGTTGATATCACACCGAACCTGTCCCCAGAGGCTCACATCAAAAGAATATCATCAGCGGCATATGCTAGACTGGCCAACATAAGAACTGCCTTTAGAAACTTGTGTCAGGAATCTTTCAGAACCCTGTATACCACTTATGTAAGACCAATCCTGGAGTATGCAGCTCCAGCCTGGAGTCCATACCTAGTTAAACACAAGACGGCTCGTCCCGGAACTGAGAGGATTGAGCTACGAGGAAAGGCTAAAGGAGCTGAACCTCACATCCCTGGAAAACAGAAGAGTAAGGGGAGACATGATAACCACCTACAAAATTCTCAGGGGAATTGACAGGGTGGACAAAGACAAACTCTTCAGCACGGGTGGGACACGAACAAGGGGACACAGGTGGAAACTTAGTACCCAGATGAGCCACAGAGACGTTAGAAAGAATTTTTTCAGTGTCAGAGTAGTTAATAAATGGAATGCACTAGGAAGTGATGTGGTGGAGGCTGACTCCATACACAGTTTCAAATGTAGGTATGATAGAGCCCAGTAGGCTCAGGAATCTGTACACCAGTTGATTGACAGTTGAGAGGCGGGACCAAAGAGCCAAAGCTCAACCCCCGCAAGCACAATTAGGTGAGTACAATTAGGTGAGTACACACAAACACACACACACACAAACACACACACACACAAACACACACAAACACACACACCCACACACACACAAACAAACACACACACACACAAACACACACACACATCAAGAGAGTGACTACTGTGTTGATTATAATAAAGTTTAAAGTGTAATGTGTCTCACTTGATCAATTACAATTTCCAGACACTTGTAATTAGCAGTAACAAGGCCGCTAATTACCCCGGGTAATGGGACGGCTGGTACCTTCACTATTTGAGTAATTACCATGACAAGGTCAAGACGGCCGTCGAATGGGGTCGTTCACTGAGGTCATGACCAGGCAGTTCACCTCTTACACTCTGAGGCACTCAACATGCACTCAAGCACACGCACTCTCAACGCACTCAAGTAGGTGTGACGTCACACTGAGATATGGAGGCAGGGGGGAGGCGAGGCAGGGGGGAGGCGAGGCAGGGGGGAGGCGAGGCAGGGGGGAGGGAGGCGAGGCAGGGGGAGGAGGCGAGGCAGGGGGGAAGGCGAGGCAGGGGGGAGGCGAGGCAGGGGGGAGGCGAGGCAGGGGGGAGGACGGCGAGGCAAGGGGGAGGCGGCGAGGCAAGGGGGAGGCGGCGAGGTAGGGGGGAGGCGGCGAGGCAGGGGGGAGGCGGCGAGGCAGGGGGGAGGCGGCGAGGCAGGGGGGAGGCGGCGAGGCAGGGGGGAGGCGGCGAGGCAGGGGGGAGGCGGCGAGGCAGGGGGGAGGCGGCGAGGCAGGGGGGAGGCGGCGAGGCAGGGGGGAGGAGACGAGGCAGGGAGGAGGAGACGAGGCAGGGAGGAGGCGAGGCAGGGGGAGAGGCGAGGCAGGGGGAGAGGCGAGGCAGGGGGGAGGCGAGGCAGGTAGAGCAACAAGGAGGCAGGCAAGACACGTACTATACACAGTGAGGGTGGCGTTGGTCTTGGCCGTGCCCACCACGTTGACGGCCTCACACACGTACGTGTCCTCGTCCCCAGCGGTGACACGGGCGATCCTGGCGGGGGGGAGAGGCAGGGGTTAGTCCTGGGGTCTGCTGGGGGGGGGGAGGTGGAGGGGGGAGAGGCAGGGGTTAGTCCTGGGGTCTGCTGGGGGGGGGGGAGGGGGGAGACAACAATAAAGGGTAAAACACATTACAAAATTTGGACGATGAGAATATAAACTAATAATCCCACGAAGTGATAGACTTGTGCTCGCCATCAGGATTTTACAACAACAGAATTCCCCGGCTTGCCTGGATCAGGGCTCCCTGATTGTCCCTGATTGTTCCTGATTGTGTGAGTGACAGCACTGTCACTGGGAGTGTCCTCTCAACACACACCTAGTGTGCCAGATCTCATTTTGAAAAGGATTTAGCGTGCTTGTCAATAATCCATGTCACAGTGACGGCTGTTCCCTCATAATTCCAGAGATTCAGCTAGGAGGATCCTCCCAGCTTTCTGTCCAGCTTGGGGGATCCTCCCAGCTTTCTGTCCAGCTTGGGGGATCCTCCCAGCTTGGGGATCCTCCCAGCTTTCTGTCCAGCTTGGGGGATCCTCCCAGCTTGGGGATCCTCCCAGCTTTCTGTCCAGCTTGGGGGATCCTCCCAGCTTTCTGTCCAGCTTGGGGGATCCTCCCAGCTTTCTGTCCAGCTTGGGGGATCCTCCCAGCTTTCTGTCCAGCTTGGGGGGATCCTCCCAGCTTGGGGATCCTCCCAGCTTTCTGTCCAGCTTGGGGGATCCTCCCAGCTTGGGGATCCTCCCAGCTTTCTGTCCAGCTTGGGGGATCCTCCCAGCTTGGGGATCCTCCCAGCTTTCTGTCCAGCTTGGGGGATCCTCCCAGCTCGGGGATCCTCCCAGCTTGGGGGATCCTCCCAGCTTGGAGGAGCCTCCTAGCTGTCTCTGCTCAACTAGTTGTTAGACCAATACACTTGCTATACACCGTATAGCGGGTGTATAGCACATCACTAATTCTTAACCTATTACTCCTGACAAACCAGTTGACATTCCGGAAAAAGCAGGAGTGACCGGTGGCAATTGAGTGACAGAAAAAAAGTGTTGTTTGAGTATGCTGGAAGTGTGATTTCCTTCAGAGAAAATGGCATCGTTCGTGTGTGAATGATTTCCTCAAGAGTGAGTGAGGACGCGAGGGGGCAGATGGGAGAGTGTAACGAGTGCGACGGCGGACGCACTCGTTACGTCGCGAACATGTCCTCCACACAGTTAAGCTTGCCAAGGTCAGCTTTGTGTACGTCTCGCGTCCTTAAAAGCTTAGACACCGTTATAAAAATTTCGACCAGGTATTACAGTGACCATCGGCGCTCATAAATGGCCTGCCTCATATAGGCTGGCAGCGCGGCGGCTGGCAGCGCGGCGGCTGGCAGCGCGGCGGCTGGCAGCGTGGAGGCTGGCAGCGTGGAGGTTGGCAGCGTGGAGGCTGGCAGCGTGGAGGCTGGCAGCGTGGAGGCTGGCAGCGTGGAGGCTGGCAGCGTGGAGGCTGGCAGCGTGGAGGCTGGCAGCGTGGAGGCTGGCAGCGTGGCGGCTGGCAGCGTGGCGGCTGGCAGCGTGGCGGCTGGCAGCGTGGAGGCTGGCAGCGTGGAGGCTGGCAGCGTGGAGGTTGGCAGCGTGGAGGCTGGCAGCGTGGAGGCTGGCAGCGTGGAGGCTGGCAGCGTGGAGGCTGGCAGCGTGGCGGCTGGCAGCGTGGAGGCTGGCAGCGTGGAGGTTGGCAGCGTGGAGGCTGGCAGCGTGGAGGTTGGCAGCGTGGAGGCTGGCAGCGTGGAGGCTGGCAGCGTGGAGGCTGGCAGCGTGGAGGCTGGCAGCGTGGAGGCTGGCAGCGTGGAGGCTGGCAGCGTGGAGGTTGGCAGCGTGGAGGTTGGCAGCGTGGAGGCTGGCAGCGTGGAGGCTGGCAGCGTGGAGGCTGGCAGCGTGGAGGCTGGCAGCGTGGAGGTTGGCAGCGTGGAGGCTGGCAGCGTGGAGGTTGGCAGCGTGGAGGCTGGCAGCGCGGCGGCTGGCAGCGTGGAGGATGGCAGCGTGGAGGTTGGCAGCGTGGAGGCTGGCAGCGTGGAGGTTGGCAGCGTGGAGGTTGGCAGCGTGGAGGCTGGCAGCGCGGCAGCTGGCAGCGTGGAGGTTGGCAGCGTGGAGGTTGGCAGCGTGGAGGCTGGCAGCGTGGAGGTTGGCAGCGTGGAGGTTGGCAGCGTGGAGGCTGGCAGCGCGGCGGCTGGCAGCGTGGAGGTTGGCAGCGTGGCGGCTGGCAGCGTGGAGATTGGCAGCGTGGCGGCTGGCAGCGTGGAAGCTGGCAGCGTGGAAGCTGGCAGCGCGGCAGCTGGCAGCGCGGAGGCTGGCAGCGTGGAGGTTGGCAGCGTGGAGGTTGGCAGCGTGGAGGTTGGCAGCGTGGAGGTTGGCAGCGTGGAGGCTGGCAGCGCGGCGGCTGGCAGCGTGGAGGTTGGCAGCGTGGAGGCTGGCAGCGTGGAGGTTGGCAGCGTGGAGGTTGGCAGCGTGGAGGCTGGCAGCGCGGCGGCTGGCAGCATGGAGGTTGACAGCGTGGCGGCTGGCAGCGTGGAGGCTGGCAGCGTGGCGGCTGGCAGCGTGGCGGCTGGCAGCGTGGCGGCTGGCAGCGTGGAAGCTGGCAGCGCGGCAGCTGGCAGCGCGGAGGCTGGCAGCGTGGAGGTTGGCAGCGTGGAGGATGGCAGCGTGGAGGCTGGCAGCGTGGAGGCTGGCAGCGTGGAGGCTGGCAGCGTGGAGGTTGGCAGCGTGGCGGCTGGCAGCGTGGCGGCTGGCAGCGCGGCGGCTGGCAGCGCGGCGGCTGGCAGCGCGGTAGCTGGCAGCGTGGAGGCTGGCAGCATGGAGGGTGGCAGCGCGGCGGTTGGCAGTGCGGCGGCTGGCAGCGCGGAGGCTGGCAGCGCGGAGGCTGGCAGCGCGGAGGCTGGCAGCGCGGAGGCTGGCAGAGCGGCGGCTGGCAGCGTGGTGGCTGCCAGCGCGGAGGCTGGCAGCGCGGCGGCTGGCAGCGCGGCGGCTGGCAGCGCGGAGGCTGGCAGCGCGGAGGCTGGCAGCGCGGAGGCTGGCAGCGCGGCGGCTGGCAGCGCGGCGGCTGGCAGCGCGGCGGCTGGCAGCGCGGAGGCTGGCAGCGTGGAGGCTGGCAGCGCGGCGGCTGGCAGCGCGGAGGCTGGCAGCGTGGCGGCTGGCAGCGTGGAGGCTGGCAGAGTGGAGGCTGGCAGCGTGGCGGCTGGCAGCGCGGCGGCTGGCAGAGTGGAGGCTGGCAGCGCGGCGGCTGGCAGTGTAGATATTTAATCTAATGAAAATAGTTATGGAATAATCGTGTTTTGACCCGAGGAACTGACCAATTGCCTACCCCAAACATGTCCTCACAGACCCACAGACCCACAATCCCACTCCGCAAAAACATAAAACAAGCCACAACAGAAACTCGCACTTAAGTCAAACTCCTTAATATAATCTTAGGCATAACTCAGATAAATCGATACGAAAATACGAAAAAAATGTAAAAAAAAAAAAAAATACTTCCCTGGCATGCTAGACCGGATGTAATTGCACTCAGAATGATTTGGATAAAAGCTTTCAATACATTTATATGAGGGACTCCTAAGTCCAAGAGTAAGGGCAATAGCCGTAAGCACATTCTAATCCCATTACGAACTATGAACTACACAAGTTCTTCCAATAGTATGTCTGGAGTGAAGGCTCAAAATACTCCACCAAATACGATCCAATCCCATTGTGGCCACCTATAGAGTCTGGACACACAATAGCGAACAAAAGAACCCCCCTTTTTTTGAACAGCACACAATGGTTTGGCTAGTGAGAGTATGTGTGTTTGTGTATGTATTTGCGATTATATGTATACTGGGGAGAGGGGGTGGAGGTGGCCCCCATCACCACCGAGGGTGATGGGGACCAGCCGTGCATACCTGGAGTTTACCTGGAGAGGGTTTCGGGAGTTCTTCTACTCCACAAGCCCGGCCTGACTTGTGATAACTTGGTCCAACAGGCTGTTGTTGGGAGCGGTCCGCAGGCCCACATCCACCACAGCCTGGTTGGTAAGGCAATTCTTGCAAGAACTTATCTAAGTGCCTCTTGAATACATCCACCTTTGTTCCAGCAATATTTCTAATGCTTGCTGGGAGGGTGTTGAACAGTTGTGGACCTCTGATGTTCAGACAGTGTTCTCTGATTGTGCCTATGGCACCTCTACTCCTCACTGGTTCTGTTCTGCATTTCCTTCCATATCTTTCACTCCAGTATGTTGTTATTCTACTGTGCAAATTTGGGACCTGGCCCTCCAGTATCTTCCATGTATATATTATTAGAAACCTTTCTCGTCTCCTTTCCAGAGAGAACATTTTGAGAGCTTTGAGACGGTCCCAATAGTTTAGATGTTTTATCGTGTCTATGCGTGCCGTATATGTTCTCTGTATTCCCTCTAATTCAGAGATCTCTCCTGCTCTGAAGGGGGAAGTGAGTACTGAGCAGTACTCAAGACGGGACAACACCAGTGATTTAAATAGTATTAACATTGCTGTGGGATCTCTGGATGTGAACGTTCTCATAATCCATCCTATCATTGTCCTGGCCGCCGCCGCCGCTGTATTTGCTCGGTTATGTTCACTAAATATCAGGTCGTCAGACATAATTATCAGATCTCTTACATGTTGCTTTCCTTCACTGATTGTGTCCTGTACCCTGTGTCCTGTACCCTGTGTCCTGTACCCTGTGTCCTGTACCCTGTGTCCTGTACCCTGTGTCCTGTACCCTGTGTCCTGTACCCTGTGTCCTGTACCCTGTGTCCTGTACCCTGTGTTTCGTTTTGTTCCTCGTTTCCACCACACCTCAGTACCTGGAACTTGTCACCGTTAAACATCATGTTATTTTCAGTTGCCCAATCAAAGACTTTATTAATAACTGCCTGTAGTTTTTCAATGTCTTTTACAGAGGAAATTGTCATGATGAATTTTGTATCATCAGCAAAGGATGACACGAAGCTGTGACTAGTATCTTTGTCTATATTAGAGAAAAAAATGAGAAAGAGCAAAGGTGCAAAGACGGTGCCCTGGGGTACAGAGCAGTGGTGCAAGGACTGTGCCCTAGGGAACAGAGCAGTGGTACACGGACTGTGCCCTGGGGTACAGAGCACCGATGCAAGAACTGTGCCCTGGGGTACAGAGCACCGATGCAAGGACTGTGCCCTGGGGTACAGAGCAGCGGTGCTAGGACTGTGCCCTGGGGTACAGAGCAGCGGTGCAAGGACTGTGCCCTGGGGTACAGAGCACCGATGCATGGACTGTGCCCTGGGGTACAGAGCAGCGGTGCAAGGACTGTGCCCTGGGGTACAGAGCACCGGTGCAAGGACTGTGCCCTGGGGTACAGAGCACCGGTGCAAGGACTGTGCCCTGGGGTACAGAGTTTTCATTGCACTTGAACTTGATCTCCATTGATTGACAGTCACTCTCTGCATTCTGTTTGACAAAGTTAAAAATCCAACGCCCCACTTAACCCATTATTCCTATTGATCTCATTTTATGAGTAATCACTCCATGGTCACATTTGTCGAAGGCCTTTGTGAAGTCTATGTATACAACATCTGCATTTGGTTTTTCTTCTAAGACTTCTGTGAAGAAACCTGAGGGTCGGGACGTTGACACAGCCATGACACGTCCTGACACTACCATGACACGTCCTGACACAGTGACACTACCATGACACGTCCTGACACTGCCATGGCACGTCCTGACACAGTGACACTACCATGACACGTCCTGACACTGCCATGGCACGTCCTGACACAGTGACACTACCATGACACGTCCTGACAGTGACACTACCATGACACGTCCTGACACAGTGACACTACCATGACACGTCCTGACACAGTGACACTACCATGACACGTCCTGACACAGCCATGACACGTCCTGACACAGTGACACTACCATGACACGTCCTGACACTGCCATGGCACGTCCTGACACAGTGACACTACCATGACACGTCCTGACACTGCCATGGCACGTCCTGACACAGTGACACTACCATGACACGTCCTGACACTGCCATGGCACGTCCTGACACAGTGACACTACCATGACACGTCCTGACACTGCCATGGCACGTCCTGACACAGTGACACTACCATGACACGTCCTGACACAGTGACACTACCATGACACGTCCTGACACTGCCATGGCACGTCCTGACACAGTGACACTACCATGACACGTCCTGACACAGTGACACTACCATGACACGTCCTGACACTGCCATGGCACGTCCTGACACAGTGACACTACCATGACACGTCCTGACACAGCCATGGAACGTCCTGACACAGTGACACTACCATGACACGTCCTGACACAGCCATGACACGTCCTGACACAGCCATGACACGTCCTGACACAGTGACACTACCATGACACGTCCTGACACTGCCATGGCACGTCCTGACACAGTGACACTACCATGACACGTCCTGACACTGCCATGGCACGTCCTGACACAGTGACACTACCATGACACGTCCTGACACAGTGACACTACCATGACACGTCCTGACACAGCCATGACACGTCCTGACACAGTGACACTACCATGACACGTCCTGACACAGTGACACTACCATGACACGTCCTGACACTGCCATGGCACGTCCTGACACAGTGACACTACCATGACACGTCCTGACACAGCCATGGCACGTCCTGACACAGTGACACTACCATGACACGTCCTGACACAGCCATGACACGTCCTGACACAGTGACACTACCATGACACGTCCTGACACAGCCATGACACGTCCTGACACAGTGACATTACCATGACACGTCCTAACACAGCCATGACACGTCCTGACACAGTGACACTACCATGACACGTCCTGACACTGCCATGACACGTCTTGACAGTCACCATGACACGATATCCATAGACATGACCCCATGACCTCCAGACTCGTGTCAGGCTCCAGACAATAACATGACAGGAACATGACAGGAACATGACAGGAACATGACAGGAACATGACACAGGAACGCACCAAACGTGACCCTGCGCTGGAAAAATGACGGGAAAACATTAAATCCTGCTCGTTAGTGTTGACGGCGGGGTCATTAGTGGAGCTGTCAACACGGCCAGCGAGGTCACGGGTGGGGGATGTCAGCCGGGGGAGGGGGATGTCAGCCGGGGGAGGGGGATGTCAGCCCGGGGGAGGGGGATGTCAGCCGGGGGGGAGGGGGGATGTCAGCCGGGGGGGGGGGGGATGTCAGCCGGGGGAGGGGGATGTCAGCCGGGAGGAGGGGGATGTCAGTCAGGGGGAGGTGGATGTCAGCCGGGGAGAGGTGGATGTCAGCCCGGGAGGGAGGGGGATGTCAGCCGGGGGGAGGTGGATGTCAGCCCGGGAGGGAGGGGGATGTCAGCCGGGGGGAGGTGGATGTCAGCCGGGGGAGGTGGATGTCAGCCCGGGAGGGAGGGGGATGCCAGCCCGGGAGGGAGGGGGATGTCAGCCCGGGAGGGAGGGGGATGTCAGCCCGGGGGAGGGGGATGTCAGCCCGGGGGAGGGGGATGTCAGCCCGGGGAGGGGGGATGTCAGCCGGGGGAGAGGGGGATGTCAGTCAGGGGGAGGTGGATGTCAGCCGGGGGGAGGTGGATGTCAGCCCGGGGGAGGGGGATGTCAGCCAGGGGGGAGGGGGATGTCAGTCAGGGGGAGGTGGATGTCAGCCGGGGGAGGTGGATGTCAGCCGGGGGGAGGGGGATGTCAGCCAGGGGGAGGGGGATGTCAGTCAGGGGGAGGTGGATGTCAGCCGGGGGGAGAGGGATGTCAGCCATGGGGAGGGGGGATGTCAGCCAGGGGGAGAGGGATGTCAGCCAGGGGGAGGGGGGATGTCAGCCAGGGGGAGAGGGATGTCAGCCAGGGGGAGGGGGGATGTCAGCCAGGGGGAGAGGGATGTCAGCCAGGGGGAGGGGGGATGTCAGTCAGGGGGAGAGGGATGTCAGCCAGGGGGAGGGGGATGTCAGCCAGGGGGAGAGGGATGTCAGCCAGGGGGAGAGGGATGTCAGCCAGGGGGAGGGGGGATGTCAGCCAGGGGGACGGGGGATGTCAGCCAGGGGGACGGGGGATGTCAGCCGGGGGGAGGGGGAAGTCAGTCAGGGGGAGGTGGATGTCAGCCGGGGGGAGGTGGATGTCAGCCGGGGGGAGAGGGATGTCAGCCAGGGGGAGGGGGATGTCAGCCAGGGGGAGAGGGATGTCAGCCAGGGGGAGAGGGATGTCAGCCAGGGGGAGAGGGATGTCAGCCAGGGGGAGGGGGGATGTCAGCCAGGGGGAGGGGGGATGTCAGCCAGGGGGAGAGGGATGTCAGCCAGGGGGAGGGGGGATGTCAGCCAGGGGGAGAGGGATGTCAGCCAGGGGGAGGGGGGATGTCAGCCAGGGGGAGGGGGGATGTCAGCCAGGGGGAGAGGGATGTCAGCCAGGGGGAGAGGGATGTCAGCCAGGGGGAGGGGGGGATGTCAGCCAGGGGGAGAGGGATGTCAGCCAGGGGGAGGGGGGATGTCAGCCAGGGGGAGGGGGGATGTCAGCCAGGGGGACGGGGGATGTCAGCCGGGGGGAGGGGGATGTCAGCCGGGGGGAGAGGGATGTCAGCCGGGGGGAGGTGGATGTCAGCCGGGGGGAGGGGGATGTCAGCCGGGGGGAGGGGGATGTCAGCCGGGGGGAGGGGGATGTCAGCCGGGGGGAGGGGGATGTCAGCCGGGGGGAGGGGGATGTCAGCCAGGGGGAGGGGGATGTCAGTCAGGGGGAGGTGGATGTCAGCAGGGGGAGGGGGATGTCAGCCAGGGGAAGGGGGGATGTCAGGCAGGGGGACGGGCGATGTCAGCCAGGGGGACGGGCGATGTCAGCCAGGAGGAGGGGGATGTCAGCCAGGGGGAGAGGGATGTCAGCCAGGGGGAGGGGGATGTCAGCCAAGGGGAGAGGGATGTCAGCCAGGGGGAGGGGGGGATGTCAGCCAGGGGGAGAGGGATGTCAGCCAGGGGGAGGGGGGATGTCAGCCAAGGGGAGGGGGGATGTCAGCCAGGGGGAGGGGGGATGTCAGCCAGGGGGAGGGGGGATGTCAGCCAGGGGGAGGGGGGATGTCAGCCAGGGGGAGAGGGATGTCAGCCAGGGGGAGGGGGGATGTCAGCCAGGGGGAGGGGGGATGTCAGCCAGGGAGAGGGGGGATGTCAGCCAGGGAGAGGGGGGATGTCAGCCAGGGGGAGGGGGGGGGATGTCAGCCAGGGGGAGGGGGATGTCAGCCAGGGGGAGAGGGATGTCAGCCAGGGGGAGGGGGATGTCAGCCAGGGGGAGAGGGATGTCAGCCAGGGGGAGGGGGATGTCAGCCAGGGAGAGGGGGGATGTCAGCCAGGGGGAGGGGGATGTCAGCCAGGGGGAGGGGGGATGTCAGCCAGGGGGAGGGGGGATGTCAGCCAGGGGGAGGGGGGATGTCAGCCAGGGGGAGGGGGATGTCAGCCAGGGGGAGGGGGGATGTCAGCCAGGGGGAGGGGGGATGTCAGCCAGGGGGAGGGGGGATGTCAGCCAGGGGGAGATGGGGATGTCAGCCAGGGGGAGGGGGGATGTCAGCCAGGGGGAGGGGGGATGTCAGCCAGGGGGAGGGGGGATGTCAGCCAGGGGGAGGGGTGATGTCAGCCAGGGGGAGGGGGGACCGGGGACCACCACCCAACTCCATAACCAACACCAAACACCATTCAAGTTGTCACCTGAGCGCCCCCATCCGGACTACTCCCCCCCCCCCCCCCCCGAGGAGGAGCTCACCTGAGGGTGTGGTCGTCGAGGATCTCCGTGCGTTCCTCCGGCAGGGGGCCCCTGAGCCTGCCCCAGGTGACCTGGGGGGCGGGGTCCCCGCTCACCTGGCACTCAAACTCCACCTTCCTCTCCGTCAGCGTCACCGTGTCCTTCGGGCCACGCAGGAAGCTGGGCTTGACTGTAGCAGGGAGAGAGAGAACACCAGTCACATTATCAGTCATCATATAATTATCTTTCTAGTCCTATATTCTCGTGTCTAGTGACACTGTCATATAGTACCCGTCTACGCGCCTGTCTCCCTGTCCCTGTACCACCCGACCCTCCCACCTCCCAGTGACCGCGGGACTTACTATGGACGTAAAGATTGACGGGGTCAGTGGTCTTGGAGCCGGCCAGGTTCCACGCCTCGCAGGTGTACTGTCCCCCGTCGTTCTGCTGGACGTGACGGATCAGCAACGTCCCCTCGTCCACCACCTCGTGCCTGGGGACATAACCAACAGTCCGCTCAATCAAAAGCGCCGAGAAATTGGGGTCACATCGAGAACAATTTATCGGATTTGATAAAATCATCCGATTTATTAGGAAATTGTTGGGTTTGGGAAAAAGATATATATAAGAAATTGTCATATCTTAGTAAGATCAAAACGGATAATTGTGAGAAAATAAAAAATAGGAAGAAAGAAGTTTTTCAAAGTGTGAGGCTGGAGCCATAGCCGCTCCTAATTCATATAATTATAATTCATAACATTAAAATTCAAATAATTATTCAACAATAATGGACAATTATTAAGGAGGACAAAATATAATAATTACAAATCATTTGCAACAATGCTGCTATTGCTGTCATTTGAGGCATTTTGCATGACGTAAACACATGTAAACGTTACGTGTAAACACATGTAAAATGTCTCCCTTCAGGTTCAGAAGTCTGCAAGCATTTACAAAACCTCTATATCTTTCAAAATTCGGAGCACACAAACGGTTTAGTAAGTGTAAACAAAGCCGCCATGATGGTTAAAGATGTACAGGTTTCGTTATTGGACGGGTAAATGCTTAGTGGATCCTAGCCCCGGAAGCAGCCCGTCTGTGAAGCCAACATTAAAAGCCTTCTAACTCCGTGATCTAATTTAACATTCGGGACGGAAAAATGTATATCTTTTTTTTTAAATGAGTTCCCGTGAGTAGTGTGTCGGTTATTGAGGAAAAATGTAAAGTTGTCAATGGAATGCCTGGGAATGACTGTTTAATTGTTTGGTAGTGAAATCTGGTGATTGGTGTCCGCAGACTTTCACGTTATCCTTAGTTTGTCAGTTTTCTTTCTAATTTGTTTTATTTTATTTCCCCTCTCTTTCTCTCTCTCTCTGTTATGTCAGACCAATCCTGCAGTATGCAGCTCCAGCCTGGAGTCCATACGTAGTTAAACACAAGACAAAATTGGAGAATATTCAGAGGTACGCCACCAGACTTGTCCCAGAACTGAGAGGTATGAGCTACGAGGAAAGGCTAAGGGAGCCAAACCTCACTACCCTGGAAGACAGAAGAGTAAGGGGAGACATGATCACTTCCTATAAATTTTGACAGGGTGGACAAAGACAAACTCTTCAGCACGGGTGGAACACGAATAAGGGGACACAGGTGGAAACTTGGTACCCAAATGAGCCACAGGGACGTTAGAAAGAAATTTTCAAGTGTCAGAGTAGTTAATAAATGGAATGCATTAGGCAGTGATGTGGTGGAGGCTGACTCCATACACAGTTTCATACTAAGATATGATAGAGCGCAATAGGCTCAGGAATCTGTTCACCAGTTGATTGACTGTTGAGAGACGGGACCAACGAGCCGAAGCTCAACCCCCGCAAACACAACTAGGTGTGTATGTATATACACACCAACACACACACCAACACACACACACACACACACCTCCATCTAAGATGGAATCAGCTGGCAGTATTGACAATCTCGATGGCGTTCTCATGTCGAGCGGCTGATGGCTGTACCACGCACAAGAACTCACTTCCATCTGGCACTGTTCGCTGGCACTTCTGAAATAACTCGGGTCGGGAACCTACCATAGGGTCACCATGACGTGGTTCCCAGGATCAGTGTCCCCCGCGGCCCGGTCTCTGACCAGGGCCGTGACCAGTTGTTTATGGTGGATGGTGTAGTTGGTAATGACAGTGTCGCTGTTAACGGTAGTTGACGTACCTGTTAACGGAAGCAAGCGGAGCTTTCAACGGTAGACGGGGTAGATGTTACTGGTGGATAATATAATAGTACCTTATCAGATAAAGTAACTGTTCCTTGTATGTCTTGCAAAGTTAGTAAATTATACCCAGATGGTATAATAAGAGAGTAGGTAAGAAAATATGACGATGATGCATGATCTGATAATTCCATAGTAATCCAGACTGACTCCCTGCTCTAATTATCCATTAACTGTGGTAATTACCACAATTACTTTCACATGCAAGGGAGAACAACCCATTTTCTAAATTTGCCTCTCTGCAACATATGCAACCGCTCTGCATACCCACAAACGTAAAAAATGCAACTCTTCTGCCTAACCACAACCATGCAAACCCAACCAACCCGCCTAACCTATCGAGACCGATGCATAGAAAACGTCATTATTACGAGTCCGTTAAAAATCCGATGTATTAATGGGAGGACAGGGTGAGGGACGGTCTCGCTAGACGTACGTTAGGTTACTTCCCTATTATGACTAGGCCAGTTGGATAGATCAGTTGACTAGGCCAGTTGGCTAGACCAGTTGACTAGGCCAGTTGACTAGGCCAGTTGGCTAGACCAGTTGACTAGGCCAGTTGGCTAGACCAGTTGACTAGGCCAGTTGGCTAGACCAGTTGACTAGGCCAGTTGGCTAGGCCAGTTGACTAGGCCAGTTGGCTAGGCCAGTTGACTAGGCCAGTTGGCTAGGCCAGTTGACTAGGCCAGTTGGCTAGACCAGTTGACTAGGCCAGTTGGCTAGACCAGTTGACTAGGCCAGTTGGCTAGACCAGTTGACTAGGCCAGTTGGCTAGACCAGTTGACTAGGCCAGTTGGCTAGACCAGTTGACTAGGCCAGTTGGCTAGGCCAGTTGACTAGGCCAGTTGGCTAGGCCAGTTGACTAGGCCAGTTGACTAGGCCAGTTGGCTAGACCAGTTGACTAGGCCAGTTGGCTAGACCAGTTGACTAGGCCAGTTGGCTAGACCAGTTGATTAGGCCAGTTGATTAGGCCAGTTGGCTAGGCCAGTTGACTAGGCCAGTTGACTAGGCCAGTTGGCAAGGTCAGTTAACTAGAGCAGTTGACTAGGCCAGTTGACTAGACCAGTTGACTAGACCCGTTGACTAGGCCAGTTGGCAAGGTCAGTTAACTAGAGCAGTTGACTAGGCCAGTTGACTAGACCAGTCGACTAGACCAGTTGAGGAGTGTGTCTGGAGGTGGTGTGAGAGTGGTGTGTTGTGTGGCAGCAATCACCCTGAAAATGGGTTCCTTTATCACCTCTTTCTTCCCTCTCCTATTGTCTTCTCTCCCCTATACTTGCCCTTCCCTGCCCCTACCCTTCCCCTGCCCTCCTCCCCTGGTTCTCTCCTGTCCACTTTACCCATGTTATCCCGTTAATGGCGCCATTAAGGGTGGTGGCCTATATCCCGCCAAAATTAAGGTCTTTCCCTGCACCAGCGAACACCACATTCTTCTATACAATCTTTCCCCGCCGGTGTCCTACTCCCAGGGAGTTTCCCCATCAATGTCCTACATAACGGAAAATAATTCCCCCGCCACCGTAAATTTGCCCCCCTGAATATAGCTTACTCGGGTGAAATTTTTTTCCCCTTCAGTAGGCCGGGTCGCAAGAATATTCCCTATTACGGAGTAAATTTTCCCGCCAATTTCGGTCGGCAGGAAATTTCGGTCGCTGGCGACGTGATCGTCAGAGGCTGTTTGGTGGTGATTACTGACGACCTTCTTGCTCGGACTCTTGTGTTGCTTTGTGTTGACGGCGTCTGGGTCCCTGTGTTGTGTTGCCGGCGTCTGGGTCCCTGTGTTGTGTTGCCGGCGTCTGGGTCCCTGTGTTGTGTTGCCTGCGCCTGGGTCCCTGTGTTGTGTTGCCGGCGTCTGGGTCCCTGTGTTGTGTTGCCGGCGTCTGGGTTCCTGTGTTGTGTTGCCGGCTTCTAGGTCCCTGTGTTGTGTTGCCGGCGTCTAGGTCCCTGTGTTGTGTTGCCGGCGTCTGGGTCCCTGTGTTGTGTTGCCGGCGTCTGGGTCCCTGTGTTGTGTTGCCGACGTCTGGGTCCCTGTGTTGTGTTGCCGGCGTCTAGGTCCCTGTGTTGTGTTGCCGGCGTCTGGGTCCCTGTGTTGTGTTGCCGGCGTCTAGGTCCCTGTGTTGTGTTGCCGGCGTCTGGGTCCCTGTGTTGTGTTGCCGGCGTCTAGGTCCCTGTGTTGTGTTGCCGGCGTCTGGGTCCCTGTGTTGTGTTGCCGGCGTCTGGGTCCCTGTGTTGTGTTGCCGGCGTCTGGGTCAGTGTGTTGTGTTGCCGGCGTCTGGGTCCCTGTGTTGTGTTGCCGGCGTCTGGGTCCCTGTGTTGTGTTGCCGGCGTCTGGGTCAGTGTGTTGTGTTGCCGGCGTCTGGGTCCCTGTGTTGTGTTGCCGGCGTCTGGGTCCCTGTGTTGTGTTGCCGGCGTCTGGGTCCCTGTGTTGTGTTGCCGGCGTCTGGGTTCCTGTGTTGTGTTGCCGGCGTCTAGGTCCCTGTGTTGTGTTGCCGGCGTCTGGGTTCCTGTGTTGTGTTGCCGGCGTCTGGGTTCCTGAGTTGTGTTGCCGGCGTCTGGGTTCCTGTGTTGTGTTGCCGGCGTCTGGGTTCCTGTGTTGTGTTGCCGGCGTCTGGGTTCCTGTGTTGTGTTGCCGGCGTCTGGGTTCCTGTGTTGTGTTGCCGGCGTCTGGGTTCCTGTGTTGTGTTGCCGGCGTCTGGGTTCCTGTGTTGTGTTGCCGGCGTCTGGGTTCCTGTGTTGTGTTGCCGGCGTCTGGGTCAGTGTGTTGTGTTGCCGGCGTCTGGGTCAGTGTGTTGTGTTGCCGGCGTCTGGGTCAGTGTGTTGTGTTGCCGGCGTCTGGGTTCCTGTGTTGTGTCGCCGGCGTCTAGGTCCCTGTGTTGTGTCGCCGGCGTCTGGGTCCGTGTGTTGTGTTGCCGGCGTCTGGGTCCCTGTGTTGTGTTGCCGGCGTCTGGGTCAGTGTGTTGGGTTGCCGGCGTCTGGGTCAGTGTGTTGGGTTGCCGGCGTCTGGGTCCCTGTGTTGTGTTGCCGGCGTCTGGGTTCCTGTGTTGTGTTGCCGGCGTCTGGGTTCCTGTGTTGTGTTGCCGGCGTCTGGGTTCCTGTGTTGTGTTACCGGCGTCTGGGTTCCTGTGTTGTGTTGCCGGCGTCTGGGTCCCTGTGTTGTGTTGCCGGCGTCTGGGTCCCTGTGTTGTGTTGCCGGCGTCTGGGTTCCTGTGTTGTGT